GCGCCAGGCACGTGACCAAAGAGAAACACTGAATGACGACAAAAAGGCTCTTTTGCCAAGAGGACCTCACAGTCCTAAATATATATGCAACTGACAGAGCTCCAAATCACAGGAAGCAAAACCTGATGAAGGGGCTGGAGGTGTGGCTCAAGTGGTAGCGTGCCTGCCTAGCAAGCATGAAGTACTGAGTTCAAATCTCAGTACCCAAAAAAAAAAAAGCCAGGTATGGTGTTGCATGTTCGTAATCCTGGCACAGGATTCTTGGGCTGGAGTATCAGAAGTCTGGGGTACATAGCAAGACACTGTCTCAAAAAACAAAGCAACAGCCGGGCACCAGTGACTCACATCTGTAATCCTAGCTACTTGGGAGGCTGAGATCTGGAGGATTGCAGTTGGAGGTCAGCCTGGGCAAAAAGCGAGACCTCATCTCCAAAATAACCAGAGCAAAATGGACTGGAGGTGTGGTTCAAGCAGTAGAGCACCTGCTTTGCAAGCCCAAAGCCCTGAGTTCAAACCCCAGTCCCAGACACAGTATCATTCTACTCGTCTCGCCAAAACCTGGAGAACGAGAATTTCCAGCTCGTTCTGCAGGTCCAGCAGTGTCCTGCTGCAGAACCATGAGGTCATCAGCAGACACAAACGACAGACTGACCTGCCTCCAACAGAGGCGAAACCTTCCACGGCGTCTCAGCAAATGCAACCCAGTGAGCGAGAGAGAAAGGGGGGGTCAGCTACCAGAAGCCAGCTCAGTACTGAGGACACAGCCGCCATCACTCACCACCTCAGTAGGGGGAGAACAGACTTTTGGTCCAGTCCTTCATGGTTCTGGCAGCTACAAGGACAAAGTCCAGACTGCAGCCCAGGCCCTAAGTCCACCTCTTCCCCATCCTCCACCCCAGCCTGAACCTGTTGCCTCTCATCATGGCTCCAGCCATGTCACAGCACTGGCTCTTCCCACAAGTGACCCCAAAGCCCCTCCTTCTCCACCCCACATCTGAGGGGCCAGCAGGTCCCAGGCCCCCTCTGTGAAATGTCCCTGTCCTCCCCCCGCCCCGAGGCAAAGCCAGTAACTCCCACCTCAATGTGCGAGGTGCCCACAGCGGCCATCTGCCATAGAGCCAATGATGCCTCCTCCAAGGCTGGACCACACCACTCCCATCCTGCAATCCCCAAAGGCCACCTCAGGTCCTTAAGTCCTGACTGATGGATTGTGTGACTCCAGGGAAGTGTGTCCATCCAAAAGACCAGGTGTGTCCATCTGCCGCCAGGAGTCACGGCTGGACAGTCACCAAACAAGTGACAGCCCAGGTTGAGCACCCATGGCTTCACATCGCTCAGAAAAAAACAGCCTGGGAGTGACAATGGTAACTGCAGCAATGGCGGTGACTGTGGGGAAACCCCAAGTCCAGGGAGTGGACACAAAAACCTGGCTCAGAGCCATCAGACGCCCTTCCCCCAACACAGCCCGCTCCTGAGACACTGCCATCTATACTTCCGTCCTGCAGGCACTTCATTAGCATGAGGAAGATGAAAATGAGGATGAACCATGGGATAGGATGTTTCACAGTGTAACATACCATAAAGATCTAGGAGGGCCAGGCACCATCACTCACGCCTGTAATCCCAACTACTTGGGAGGCTGCGATCGGGAGGATCAAGGTTTGAGGCTGGCCCAAGCAAATAGTTCTCTAGACTTATCTTGAAAGTAACCAGAGCAAAATGGATTGAAGTATGGCTCAAGTGCTAGAGCACGTGCTTTGCAAGTGAGAAGCACTGAGCTCAAACCCCAGTCCCGCCCAAAAAAAAAAGTATATATGCTAAAATCACTCGTGTGTGTGTGTGTGTGTGTGTGTGTGTGTGTGCGTGTGTGTGTGCATGCATGTGTGCATGGATACAGCAAAGCTCTCAAAAACACGTCAGGTAGAGAGCATGTTTTTATGCAGGGCTCACATCCAAGCTCTTTGCCCTCAACCCATGCCCATCCACCAATGAGACCCGGACACCATCACCAAACAAAAGACCCAACCAGCCAGTGGCATCCATCTTCACCCCCACACCAAGACCAAGCCCAGCGCCTTGACCCTGACACCTGCTGCGGCCTCCCCGGCCCTGCTCTTGCCTCTGCTGGGGTCTCTGGCTGCCCTTGGACATCCCGGACAGTGGCCACAGTGCCAAGAGCTCATACTCACCCGATCTCTACAAACTGTGGCTTTCCGAGTCCTCCTGGCCTCCCAGGCCAGAACCCCTGCTCCACCTCTGACCTCAACTCTCTCCAACCCTTGCCACCGCTGGGTCCTGCCCACCTGCACCCTGGTGATCTTCAGCCCCTCCTCCCCTGTCCCTTGTAGGATCTCACAGCCTCACTGCCGCTGGGGTTTGGGGATCACACAACTCCTTGGCCCCCAGGTTGTCTAAGCACGTCATACGATGTTTAGCTCCATCCCCATGGGAGGTGAAAAACCCACTCCTGATGTGGCTAGCAAAAATGTCTTCCTCCCACAGCCTCCGCTCCACTCTCACGCCGCTCTCACTCTGCTCCCCGCTGGGTCAGGCGGAACCTGCGCCAGGCTCTGATATCCTACCTGGAACCACAGCCTGTGAGAACCAGTTCTAAGAAACGTGGGGTCTGAGACAGGGAAGGACACAAGGTTCCCCTCCTCCAGCATGTCTCCCTTCCCCCTCCCCAGGTCCTCTGGGGTTTACCGTTTGGTTGTTTGGTTCAAGAACAGGCCAGGGGAAAAGTAAGACCCTTTCTCAAAAATACCCAACAGGAAAAAAAGGCTGGGGGAGTGGCTCAAGTAGTAGAGTGCCTAGCAAAGTGTGAAGTCCTGAGTTCAAATCCCAGTGTCGTCCCCCCCCCAAAAAAATAAAACCCAGATGATCAGTTAGGGTCATGTGACCATTTTCATCTCTTAATGCAGAAAGGAAAAGGGAAAGTTTGTTAAGTTAAAGCAGTGGGGCTACAAATGTGACTCAATGGTAGCACATTCGCCTAGCATGCAGAAGGCCTTGGGTTCAATTCCCAGGAGTGCAAAAGCAAGTTAAGTAGTTAATTAATGCAGCCAGGGCTGGTGAGGCTGAGTAAATTTAAGACATGTTGCTTGAGGGTGAACGTGTATTGGTGATGCTCTCATAGCACCAGCAAAACAATTTTGGCCATCTGAAAAAAGAAAAACAAAACAATGCTACACACAGGAAAAAAAAAAAAAAAGTAAATCCTGAGGACAAATATGTCAGCATGATGTCTTTTTTTTTTTTTGGTGGTGCTGAGGTTTGAACTCAGGACCTTCACCCTGAGCCATTCCACCAACCCTTTTTGTGATGGGTTTTTTAAGATAGGGTCTTATGAACTATTTGCCCAGGCTGGCTTTGAACTGTGATCCTCCTGACCTCTGCCTCCTGAGTAGCTGGGATTACAGGCGTGAGCCACCAGTGCCTGGCAGTAATTTTTAATACTAATAAAACCTGGAGACAATTCAATTGTCCAATCATGAGAGAAAGGCTGAAAATCTCCTGAATAGAACATCATGCAGTTACTCAGAGTCCACGGAGAGCAGATGACAAATGGAAAACTACAAAGTATAAAACTGCATCTGTGACATGACAACGTGTGACTAAACACTGTTTTTAAAAAAGCACAATGCAGGGGGCATGATGGCTCATGCCTGTAATCCCTGCTATGTGGGAGGCACAGGTAGGAGGATGCAGTCCAAGTCCAGCCTTAGGCAAAAAAAAAAAAGCTCACGATCTTGTTAGGGGGAAAATAACTAAAGCAGAAAAGGGCCAGGGGCTTGGCTGAAGTGGTAGAGCACCTGTCTAGGAAGCACAAGGCCCTGGGTTCAAATCCCAGTACTGCCAAAAAACTCACAAAATCCTAGGGGCAGAAAGAGATGAAGGATTTTACTTCCTCTTTCCACTTCTGAACTTTCTAATTTTCTTTAAGAAGCACGTATGGGATGCAGGGGGAATTCAACTATGTTGTATTTGATAAATTGTAAGAACTTTTGTAAATGCCACAATGTACCCCCAGCACAACTATGTGTGTATATATATAAGCTTTTTAAAAAGAAAAGCAAAGCATTGACGCTGTGTCAATTCATCCACTGATTTTTTTTTTCGGGGGAGGTGGTGGGGATCAAATCTAGGTCTGTGGATAGGAAGCAAGCGCTCTACCACTGAGCCACTGCCTGGCCTCTGATGGACCATTTTAAAGGAAAACCAGATCCCTTCCTTTGGGTGGGATCTCTGTGACCACAGGAGGCCCCCGTTGAAAGGGTGGACCAGATAGTGTCAGGACCTCATCCTTCAAAAGCGGACTTTAGCTGGAACAGGGCTCCTCCTTGTGGTCCCATTTGGTCCCTAAAAGGCTGGGACAAAGAGACAGTTAAGTTGTCGTGAAGGACCTCAGGTGATGTCCAGAGTCAGTCTCCAAAGACCCAAGGTGGGGAAGAAAGTAGCATGGGACCTTGGGGGAGAGGAAAGGAAGGGACAGGGAGTGTCATTTATGACAGAATGAGTTACAGGGCCTTTCTTCACAAAAGACAAAAGCTAGCAGGGGTGTGCTTCTCCCCACCACTAGCACATCTAAGGGGTTTCCCTGTGTCAGAGGCTGCCAAGTCTTGGGTACCAGACTTACCCCATGAGCCAATGATGTCTGTCACTACACCTGGCCCTGGCCTCAGTCCCCAGGCTGAGAACTGCCAGGGAGCCCAATCAGCTACCAAAACCCTGAATCACCTTCCATGAGACCTTGGAAGACCCTGGGCCCTTAGAAAATCTTGGGGTCACAGGAGGGTGTGTTCTGTGGCCAGGAAGACCATGCCCAAAACCCATGAACCCTAGGAAGACCACGAACCCCAGGCCAAACAAGGCAGAACCGCCCCCAAATTGGTTTCGGTCCCCATCTTCTAGAATGATCCTTGGGACAGTCTCAGAGGGGCTCTGGGCAGCTTGGCCCAGGACACATGCAAAGGGACACTTGGGGGGGGAGTCACACTGACCTTCTCAAGTTTCTCAAAGTGCTCCCGGAGGAACCTCATGGGCCGCTCTGGTTTGTTGATGCACAGGTGCACGATACAGTCTTTGAGCACCTGCTGAATGCTGTGCTTCTGAACGTAGAGCTCGCATCCCTTCAGACTGTCCTCCTCCTCCAAGTGAAAAGAGGACGGAGAGGCCATGGCCAGCGCAGTCAGGGGGTCTTCTGCCTTCCTGCTGAGGAAAACGCAAACCGCAAACCGCCAGCGTCAGGCGGGGCCAGGAGGGCTCGGTGCTGCAGTGTGCTTTGTAGGTGTGCACACCGCATATACGATAAGGTTTATTTCTGGTGTCAGATCCAATGAGCCGCATACCACAGAAAGAGACATTTATTGTGCAATCGTCAAAGGGCTTTCATCTCTGGAAGCCAGAGACTCGGTCACTATATTAAACAGCTAGCTGCAAACACCTTAGCTCTGAACAGACCCTGGTGGGCATGGAAAAGGTTCAAACCGAATTTGTGCGTAATGGGGACGGCCCATTCTGCATTTCTCAGGGATCCTTAGTGGGAGCACCGGAGAGCTGGCTGTATCTGGGCCCAGGCCTTTTTAGGGTCTCCCTTTCTTCCACCCCTCCCCCCCTTTAAAATGCACTGCTGTGAAACGGGAATGCCACCACCCGGGGTCCCAGCGGGGAAGGGGGACCCTTCAAAAGGTGGGGAGGGAGGGGTGCTGTCCGAGGGTCAGGGAGCCCTGCTCCGCTGGAAAAGAAAGAGAAAGGAAAACAAGGGGGCCAGCCGGGGGCCATGCTGGAGGGTGGACGTAGACAATCGCAGCCGGAGGCCGGGTTGGCCACAAAGGCCGGGTCCCCGTCTCGCCCCCTCCGGGGGACAGCGGCCAGGGTGTCCAGGGTGTCCCCCACCGGGACCTCCGCCCCCGAATGTCCGCCTTTCCCGAGGGCCGCCCCGCCCCGCCGAGCCCCCGCCGAGCCCCCGCCCGTCCCCGCGCGGACCGCGGCCCACCCCGTACCTGCTGGATGCGGCGCCCGAGGCCCGAGGCGGCTGTGCAGGGACGCGGGGCGGGGACGCGGGGACGTGTGGCGAGGACGCGGGAACGCGGGGCGGGGACGTGGGACGGGGACGCGGGGACCCGCACTGCACGACACCGCCCCCCGCCGCGCGCCACCGGCGCCCGCACCAACCCCAGACCCTCGCTTCCGCGCGTTCCCGGAACCCCCGGACTTCCTAGTCTCGGCCTCCGTGGACCACCCCCTCCGCTCGGCCTCCCTGTCCCCGCTCCCGAACCCCCGACCCCGGCCCCGCCAACCAGAACGCCCTGCTCGCCCCCCCGCCCCACCCGCGCCCCCTCCGCCCGGGCCCCGCCCCGCTCAGGCCCCGCCCCTGCCTCCGGACCCCGCCCCTTCCGCCCAAGCCCCTCCTCCTGGACCCCTCTCCTCCCTCGGGACTCCAGCCGGGCCACGCTCCTCCGCTTGGGCACTGCCCCTCCCTCCAGAACCCCGCCCCTTCTGCCCCGGTCCGCCGCCCCACCCCCACCGACCCCAACCCACCCCACAGCAGCCCGCACCCACCCCCATCCTCCCCGACCTTCTCCCCGGGACGTCCCCTCAGTGACTTGCACTTCCACAGCCACAACTGCAGGAGAGAGCCGTCCTTAGTCCTTTCTCTGTGGCCAGCATTTTGTTTCGCCCACGACTGCCGGGGTCGGGCAGACACACTTCATCTCCCTTTCCTGATGGCACCAGGGGGAGCTCAGGTCTTCTACTCACCTGACAACACCCACCTGTCCCCACCTCTTCACCTGCCTGTCCCTCTCACCTGTGACACTTAGCTGTCCCCCCCACCTGCTCCCCACTCACCTGTCCACACCTGTCTCACACTCATCTCTTGCCTCATTCACCTACTGCACTCGCCTGGCCACACGTGCTCTCCCCAGGCCACCAGCCTGGCCCATAGTCAGCAAGGCTGGCCTTGGTTGAGTCATTGTGTGGACACAGAGCAGCCACCCTGAGGGTCAGCTAAGAAGCTCCCGCTTCGGCAACCCTTCCCTCCCTGGCCTCCCTGGACCCTGTCCACACCACAGGCAGACACACTTGTCCCGGGCGGAGACCAGGATTCCGCGTCAGGTCCTGCCACTCACCCATACAGCCAGGTAGAGAATGTTGCAGGGCAGAGCAGGGAGCTTTATTACATGGCCACTGCCAGGCAGACAGCGCCTCAGTTCACCTTGAGCCACCTTCAGGGCACAGATGTGACCTTTAGGTTTAAATAGAGGAAGAATTGGGTCAGAGGGAGAGGGGTATGCTTAATTAAACAGTAAGTGTGGCCTGATTGATCACTGTCTCCTTCCTTATTCTTTGAGGGTTCTGGAGAAGATGTCACCACTATCATCACTGGAGGGGAGCAAACTGGTTCCCCTGAGATGATAACCCAGCTCCCCAGGGATCGCCCCCATTTCAGGGGTGGCCTGTCCTGCCAGGATCACTGTTGTTTGGGGGTAGTTTCAGTTCCTTGTCATAAAGATGTTATCCATCAGTCCTGTCCTTCCTATAACCCAAGGTGACCACAGAGAGCATTGGAGCAAAGAAATACAAAACACAGGTGGGGATGTCAAGCTTTTCTCATGTGTTTCATTAATTCCTGGGCCCAAGTAAGGAGCCAGTGCTTTTCAGCAAAAGCAGTCTAAGTGCCTGTTTCTAACACACTTCTTGGAAGAGTGTCTTTTTCAAGAATTGCTATCTGACTTGAATGAAAACTTGTGTCCGTAAGTAACTCAAACCCTTGGTTGTCTCAGCCCAGGACTACCTGGAGTTGCTACAAACCAGAGTGGGGTCATCTGTGTTCCCCAGGTGAGGGTGGGAGAGACCCAAGAGGCCTCTCCAGCCTTTTCCAGGCCTGTTGGGTACCCACTTCAGTGGCCTCACCCTCCTGGGGTGTCCAGCCAGGCCCTCCCCAGGCTCAGCTTATAGTAGTGCAGGGCACAGCCCAGGTGCCCCAGCCACAGACCTCTGTGTAACGAACACTCCTGCTCCCCTCTGATGTGGCTCCAGATACCTAGTTGATCCCTGAGGATGAAATCAACACTCGCAGAAGCAGATGTGCAGAAATACGGGGCCAAGGCCACGTTCAGACCATACCTGGACTCCCTGGTTATGTTAACTGATAACTGCCTTTATTGCTGAGCCATGTGGCTTTTTCTTGTTTCTGTTCTGTTCTTTTTTTTTCATTTTATTCTTTTGCAATACTGAGGATTGAACCCAGGGCCTTGTGCATATTAGACAAGCTCTCTACCACTTGAGCTATGTCCTCAGTTTTTTGGGTTTTTTTGCAGTTCTGGAGTTTAAACTCAGGGCCTATACCTTGAGCCCTCCACCAGCCCTTTTTTTGTGATGGGTTTTTGAGATAGGGTCTCTTGATCTACTTCCCCAGGCTGACTTTGAGCCAAGATCCTCCTGATCTCTGCCTCCTGAGTAGCTGGGATTACAGGAGTGAACCATCAGTGCCCGACTTCCCAATTCTTTTCTTTTTACCTTGTTTTTGGGATAGGGTCTGCCTACCTTTGAGGTCGTTGGCATTGAACTCCAGATCCTCCTGCCTTACTTCCCGAGCAGCTGGTATTACAGGTGTGTACTACCATGCCTGGCTGGTTGTTTGCTTTTTATTGATTGCAATTGAGAATATCCAGGTAGATACATCCTAAGATCTGATGAACACAGCAACCTCCCCATACAGAAATGACCCCATTAAATGGTCCATGAAAAGACAGAGGAGGCAGGGGATCTCATTGGATGACCAATAGCTAGTGTCCTTGACTGAGGATGGCAAGAATGTCTCTCAACAAACCATGTGGACCACCCACAGTAAGTCACCACCCTGCTGGACAGTGACAAATTACAGCTTTTATAGGGTGTCCAAGCAGCTCTGTCCTTCCACAGCAAACAAGCAGCTGGTGCTCTGGTTATCCACTCAGAAATTCTAGTAATTACTCTCACCTGGCATTGTCCCCTCCACCCACAGGGGAGGCCTGCCCTGTGTGCTTCAAGGTGTTAGCTCACATCGCTGAGCTCTGTGGGTTCTTTCTTCTCCACTAGACCTGATTGTGGGGTTCATCAAGTGACCAGCCCTGCAGAGATCCACCTCAAAGCCACAACCACTCCTGTCCACCCCACCCGCAAGGTTGGGCTTACATAGGACTTCTGCAGGGAAATTCCCAAGGCACCTGGCACTACCAGGGGAGGTCGGGAGTCCCGGAGGCTGCCCAGCCTCTGAGACTAGCTGTTGAATATATGGAGAGAGCTGTTGACGTGGGTTTTTTCGTTTTGTGGTACTGGGGTTTGAACTCGGGGCCTACACCTTGAGCCACTCCATCAGCTTTTTTTGATGGATTTTTCAAGATAGGGTCTCCTGAACTATTTGCCCAGGCTGGCTTCAAACCTCAATCTTCCTGATCTCTGCCTCCTGAGGAACTGGGATTACAGGCGTGAGCTACGGGTGCCAGACTGTTTTTTTTCTTTTTTGATAGTACTGGGGCTTGAACTCAGGGCCTTGTGCTTGCTGGGCAGGTGCTCTACCACTTCAGCCACACCCCATCTCTTTTTGCTCTGGTTATTTTTCAGGTAGATGCTCACATTTTTGCCAGGCTTGGACCCAGATCCTCCCACCTATACTCTCAAGTAGCCAGGATGACAGGTGTGAGACACCATGTCTGGCCCCCTTAGTCTTTCTTTTTCATGCTGAGTATCAAGGAGACAAATTACTGGGTGCAGATAGGGGAAAAAGAGCTGGGTGTGGTGGCACATATCTGTAATCCCAGCATTCAAGAAACAGAGGCAGGAAGATCTCAAGTTCAAAGTCAGCCTGGACTACAGAGTGGGATCCTGTGTCAAAAAAAAAAAAAAACTAAAGGGGGTTATTTGTTAAACCCCAGGGGCCCAAGAGAGGCTGCAGAAGCTCCTCACAGGCAGATGTCATGAGTGTGAATCCTGGTGGGTTCCACCCGAGCACCCGAGCCCTTCTCTGACTGGGAGAATGGAGGGGACACTGCCCACCATTGACAGCTAATGTTTACTGAGCCGTGAAATGCTCAAGACATGGTAGACTGAGGAGCTGATGGAGTCACCGCACACATAGGAGCCCAGGAAGTGGACAGACGGGGCCACCGGCTTGGAACAGCGCAACTTAGCAATTTCTCAGCTCAAAGATGGTGAAAAAGGTGTAAGTGCCATATGGATTCCCTGGGAATGGGATTTTGGGATTTGGCTTCTGATCTCTTCCTGGGCTGGTGATGGACGGCACTGTCGCCCTTTGTCTGTGCTGGGCAGTGGTGGCTGTCACAGCTATCAGCCTGGATCAGGGGTCCTAAGCACATTTTTTACTTCACTGTGACTGGTCACGGTTGAGCAGCTTCTATGCTGTTTTTTTTTTGAGATGGAGACTACATAGCAGTGTTTGCTGTGTAGCCCAGGCTGGCCTTGAACTCGTGATCCTCTTGCCTCAACCTCCCAGATGCTGGGATTACAAGCTTTTTTGTTGAGATGGGGGTCTCACTGACTTTTGCCCGAGCTGGCCTCAAACCTCAATCCTCCCTCTCTTCACCTCCAAGTAGCTGGAATCACCTGAGTTTGCCACCATGCCCAACTTGTTTTTTAGGATGGAGAATTAATAACTTTTTGTCCAGGCTGGCCTTGAACACTGATCCTCCTGATCTCTGTTCCTGAGCAGCTGGGATTACAGGTGTGAGCCATGGTGTGTACAACCAGCCACCAGCTGTGAGGAACCCCAGAGTGGCCATGGCTGAGGCTCCCAGCAATACCTGGACATGTAAGTGGCCACTGGCCAGTTGTCAACAGCCCCTCCACCATGGGGCAGGGATGAACCTGCCTGATGCTATTAACATCATGAACCACAGGATCTGCCAACAGTAGCCACAGTATTTTGGGGTGACCCATTAAGCAGTACTGCATAGTGGGGACCCAACTCAACACCCTACGTATACCCAACACCAGGCATGGACTCCCCACCGCAGCCCTGGGCTTTCACCAGCGCTTCTGTCTCTGTGATGGACACCTCCATCTGGCCAGGTACCAAGCCAGAAGCCCAAGAGAGCTCCTCTCAACAGCTCCCTCCCCCTCAGCCCCATGTCCCATGTCTCTGTCAATGTTACCCACAAAATAACCCCAGATCCACCTGCATCTCCCAGGAGTACCTCAGTCTAAGCCAGCATCATCCACCTTCCTCACTGCTCTCCAAGGTCCCTCAAGCTGCTCCGCACAACCTTCCCCAAATGTCCTGGAGCCCCTGCCTCCCGCTCTACCCCCACAGGGCCAAGTTCCAGCCCCCAGGGGACCTTCACCGCTGTGACTGGCACACAGCTGCATTGTGTTATCATTGATTGACTGACTGACCATCTCCCCGCTGGACCACAAGCTCCCCAAGGAAGAGGAATGACATCTGTTTGACTCATTCTTCTAACTCAGGGCCTTGCACAATGCCTGGAAATGTCACACACCCAATAAATATTTGTCAAGTGAAATAATGAATGACCTGAGAGTTACTTGCTAAAATCAGTTTATTATAACTGGTTCACACACTTCAAAACACGTGTCACCAAGACACTGGGTCTGGGCTGGTGAGGCTCTGGGAGAAAACATCTCCTTGCCTTTTGTGGCTCTGTAAAACTTCTGGGCACAGGGAGTTAAACAGATATAAATTTAGACAGACTGTCACATTTTGGCACAAATGTTGATAGTTAAAAAGCTCCAGAGTTCTGTTGATATAAACCCAGTGTCAGCACAATTCTTCTAAGAATCCCATGCTATTAAATAATTACAAACCAAGCTTGACTTAGACTGAAAACACTCCTCTCTCCAGCAAGAGCCTAAGGCTAGAAGCTGCCAGGAGAAAAGGGACAGACGGGCTTGTCTCTTGTCCCCTTCTCACCTTCCCACCCACTCTCCACACTGGAACACACTTGGCAACTGGCATGGCGGGGGGGGGGGGGGGGGAGAGAGAGAGAGAGAGAGAGAGACAAGGAGACAAGGATCCCACCTTCCCTTCCAGGGCATGGCTCAACAGGGCCACCCTGGGGACCCAAACCTTTATCCTACGGGCCTTTGGCTGGTGCTGGTGTCTGGTAGTCCCAGGAATCACTGAGAGTGGGGTGTCCAAGTCTCCCCGTCAGGCTCCACAATTGTTTGCCTCACACTTTTTTTTTTTTTTTTGTAGTATGGGGTTTTGAACTCAGGCTCATACTTGCTAGGCAGGTGCTCTGTCACTTGAGACACACACATCCCCAAGTCCCTTTTGCTTTGGTTATTCTGAAATAGGGTCTGTGTTTTTGTGCCAGCCACGATCCTCCTACTTATGCCTCCCATGTAGCTGGAATGACAGGTATGTACTACCACACCCAGCTTTTTTTTTTTTTTTTTGAGATGGGGGTCTCCCTTTTTGCCCAAGCTGACCTCAAACGACAGTCCTCCCAAATACCTGAAATCACAGGCGTGAGCCACAGGTGCCCAGTTCCTTGAATACTTCTTGTCTATGCCTATCAGCTGTGTAGGGTGGCAGGCCACTATAGGGTGAAGCCTGGTCCAGTTATCTATTCAAGAGGAAAAGGACGGGGGAGCAGAGAAGCCCACCACCCTAGCTTAAGTGCTCATTGTGGCCCCTTCTCAGCAGTGGCCATGTGGTCCTCAAACATGCACCCCTGACCTCCGTGCTCCACCTAAGACCAGTCCATGGTGACCCCACTGTTGTAAGACAAGGCCTTCCTGCTGCCCCCCAAGTCCCTTGCTCTCTGCCAGGAGCTTCTTCTCCTTTCCTAGGACAATGTCAGCTCCGTCCTGGGCTTGTTGATGGCCATGCTGGAACTCACGAGGTCCTCTCCCTGTATGCACACCCACCCCAGATTCCCCTTCTTCTTTTTTGTGGTACTGGGGTTTGAACTCAGGGCTTCGTGCTTACTAGGCTGTACTACTTAAGCCACATCTCCTGCCCTTTTTGCTCTGGTTATTTTGGAGATGAGGTCTTGCTTTTTGTCCAGGCTGGCTTGGATCATGATTCTCTTTTACACTTCCCACTGTAACTGGGGTGATGGTTGCATGCCACCATGCCCAGTTTTGTCTGTTGAAACGGGGTCTCGCCAACTTTTTCTTTTTCTTTGTCAGGGCTGACAATCCTTCTGACCTTAGCCTTCCAAGTAGCTGGGATTACAGTCATGAGCCACCAGCACCCAGCTCTCAATTCCCCTTCTCTCTGGATTAGGGCCTACCCTGAAGAACTCAACTTGATGACATCTGCAAAGACCCTGTCTCCAAACAAGGTCACATTCTAAGGCCCTGGGGTTATGAGTTTGGGGAGAAAACACAGTTCAGCCCATGACATTCACCACCGGGCCTTTGCCTGAGTGATTCCCTCTCTGCCACACCTTCTCCGTCTCACTTCACCTGGTTAACTGTTACTTATTCTTCACATCTCACACCCGATGTCACTTCCTTAGAAGCCTTGTGAGTCTCCATCAACCACTGTAGTTACACATTTATTAGTGGGATTTTTTTCGTGGGGCCTAGCTCCTCCTGCTAGTCCTAAAGATAGGTGAGAACAGGTACCAGGCTGGGTCGCCCCAAATACCAGTGCCTGAGGACAGAGAGAGCAAAGGTTCCCACAAAACCACAGAGCATTTCACAAAAACAATGTGGATAACCAAAGGCAATGGACTAATTCCCAATAACGCCCAGCCCCGAAAATTAAGTGAACGATCGCAGATGCGAGCTGTGTGACTGCCCATGTGTGGGACCCCTGGGCTCCCTGTCACCTTCCCACTGGGAACACTGCAGTACCCAGCAGGCGCCTGACCAGGGCACTAGCGTCCCCACCTGTCCCTGGCCAGCCTGCGAGGCCAGTGCGTGTCCAGCACCCAGCAGGTAACTCAAACCAAGGTGGGCTCCCCTCCCCAGCAGAACCACGAGCACGGGTCTTCTCTGCACTGGTGTCCCCACAGTGGACGAAGGCCCAGGCTACCCCAACGAGAATGAATCACCGTATCCTCCTCTGCCATCCGCGCGATCCCACAGGGGAACGCCTGGCAAGATGCCTTCTCTTAACCGGTGTGCGCCCACCAGCGGAACCGCAAGGAGGGCAAAGGTCAGTGAGGGTCCAGCAGACGCAGGCAGCCGTTGCTCCGCCCCTAGCCCTCGCCCCGCCCCCGAAACTCAACTATAGCCTTTGTCCCGCCCTCCAAGACCCACCTACAGCCTTTTCCCGCCCCCTATATTCTGCCCCACCCGCGAGGCCCGCTTACAACCCCTTGCCCCGCCCCTAGGCCTGCCCACACTCTTGCTCTGCCTGTCACCCTTCGCTCCGCCCCCGAGACCAGCCTACAGCCCTTGCTCCGCCCCCCACCTCCCTGAGGCCCGTTTAGTCCCACCTGCAACCATTGGTTGGCCCCCCCCCGCCCTTCGCCCCTCCCCCAAGCAAGTTTGCCTCCGCCCATAACCCCATAGCCCCGCCCCCAAAACTTGCTTGGCCCTCCCACCTATCGCCCCGCCCTCAGGCACGCTTGTCTCCGCCTACAATCTCATCGTCCCGCCCCCGAGACCCACCCACAAGCCTTGCTCCGCCCCCTAACCTTAGCCCCGTCCGCGAGGACAACCTACAGCCCTTGCTCAGCCTTCATTCTTCACTCCGTCACATTTGCCTCCACCTACAACCCTTGCTCCTTCCCAAACCTACTGCCCCGCCTACCGCCTCTTGCCCGGCCTCATCGCCCGGCTCCCCACGAAGCCCGTTTGCCTCGCCTGCAACCATTGCTCGGCCCTCTACTCATCACCCCGCCCCCAAGCACGTTTGCCTCCGCCTACAACCTCAGCGCCCGCCGAAGCCCGCTTGCCCTGATCTATAACCCATGCTCCGCCTCTTTTCCATGACCCTCTGTCCCCGCCTACCGCCTTTTGACCGGCCCCTTCACGCATGGCCCGCCCGCACCTTCCGACCCTCGGTCCTCTCCCGATTTCCGCGCACTGCCGCGAGCCGCCGATTAAGCCGCGCCAGCCGGAAATCGTGCCGTAAACCGCGCGCCGACCGTCGTAAGTGCGTCGGTTCCCTTGGTGACGGGCAACGGCGCGGAAGATGGCGGTGCCGGCGGAGGCGGCAGTGGCTGTGTGCCCCGCCGAGGCGGTCGAGGCGGCGGAACTGAGCCGCGCACTGGGCCGCCTGCTCCCGGGGCTGGAGACCGACAGCAAACTAGGGCGACGGCGCGCGCTGGAGGCTCTGGAGCGTGCGCTAGAAGAGGCGGAGCGGGCCGGCGCGGAACCCGCCACTTTCCAGGGTCCCTGGGCCCGTTTGCTGCTACCACGTCTACTGCGCCTCCTGGCCGACCCCGCCGAGGGCTGCCGCGCCCTGGCCGTGCACCTGCTGGGCCTGGGCCTGCGCCGCGCCGCGCGGCCCCACGACGCCCTGCCGCGCCTGCTGCCCGCGCTCGCCGCGCGCCTGGCCCGGCCCGAGCCCACGCGGCCGCCGCCCGAGCCCTGCGAGGAGCTGCGCCTGGCGCTCGTGCAGCTGCTCAGCCTGGCCGTGGGTCTGGGCGGCGCTGCGCTCGCTCCGCACCTGGACGACGCGGTGCGCGCGCTGCGGAGCGCCCTGCTAGACCCCTTCGCCGCTGTGCGCCGCGAGAGCTGCCAGTGCGCTGCCAATCTGGCGCGCGCCACGCCGGGTGAGCCCCGCCATCCCTGTCCCCTCCCCTCCTCCACCATCCTTTCCCCTGTCTCCCCCCCGCCGCCACCCCTGTTCCCTCTCCTCCGCCACTTTTGTTCCCTCCCCCCGCCACCCTTCCTACTGTCACTCCTGTCCCCTCCCCCACACCCTTTTCCCCTTCCCACCACCTGTCTCCTCCCCTCCCCAGCCACCCTTTCCCCATCACCTTTATCCCCTCCCCCACCACACTTTCCCATCACCCCGCCCTACCCCCGACCCCGTCCTTCCCCACCCCTGTTGCCTCCCCTACACCCTTTCCTCTGTCCCTTTGCCACCCCGTCCCCTCCCCTCCCCCATCACCCCTGCCACCACCCCAGCACGCCTGTCTCCTGTTGTCCCCCCACCCCCCGTACCCTTCCCCCCTGTGATGGTTGTTTTTGAGATACCTTGGAAAGATGGGGACCCTGCTTAATGTTGGCTGGAGGAGGGGCTTCTGAACTGAACACCTGTGGCGGAAGGGAGCCAGCCTTCAATAGCAAGAAGGTTGCCAGGGCCACTCACAGAGAGTGAGGGAAGGATGAGACCACAGGGCCAGTGTGACCACCAGAGGAAGATGGTTGGTGGCCACAGAGCTGGGCTAGGTGAGGCCCACAGGGGACGCTGTAGTAACTGGTGGCCTCCTGTCCTGCAGACCACTTCCACATGCAGTCCGAGTCCCTGATTGGCCCTCTGATGCAGACCATTGCCCACCAGCACTGGAAGGTCCGGGTGGCTGTCATTGAGGCCACTGGCACTGTGATCCAGTTTGGCAGCGCGCAGTCTGTGGATGACGTCCTTCCCCACTTTGCTCAGCGACTCTTTGATGATGTCACTCAGGTATGGGGTTTATCTGCTGGTCAGTCTGTCCTGTCCCTGGTACAAACTGCTGACGTGCTAGTTTTGATTAAGTCGGGGTTTTTTTAAGGTGTTACGTACACCACATACCCTTTTGAAATAGCATATCAGGACGCTTTTATTTCATCTTGAGAAGCTGTGAGAGTTTATGTTAACAGGTTCCTTATTTGTTTTTGCAGGGAATGTGAGAGGACTTTTTGTTAGTTTTCAGTGCTTGAACTCAGGGCCTTGCACTTGCTAGGTGGGCACTCTACCTCTTGAGCCCTTTTTGCTTTAGGTATTTTTCTATTAGGGTTTTGTGTATATGTCTGGGCCAGCCTGGACCTCGATCCTCCCATTTACAATGCCTCCATGCCTGGCATGGCAGGTGCTCACCGACACGCCCAGTTTTTATTGGTTGAGATGGGGCCTCACTAACTTTTTTGCCAAGCTGCCTGCAGCCACTATCCTATGTCCCCATGTCCTGAGTAGATAGGATTGTGGGTATGAGCCAGAGTCCTAAACCACGTGTGTCAATTTGCAGAAGCTCTTCTTCACACTCTTCACCAAGGCACGTGTCAGTGGAGCCATGGTGGTTTGAGGGGTGAGCCAGGGACTGTGGGTTTGAGTCCTGCTGTTAGATATGGAACCCACTGGGAGGAGGGACACAGACCTGGGAGACGTAGATCAGAGCCCCAAGGCCACCGTGGCCAGCTGAACCTCACAGCGAGGGCTGGGGTAGCCAGGCTGTGTCCCACAGAGAGGAAGGAGGAGGAGGGGTAGCAGCCAGGGTCCTCCAGAGTGGCTGGCAAGTGTCCTGCCCTGGCTACCTCAGGTCATTCATGTTGGTCACCTGCAGTGCTCACCACTCAGTGAAAAGCTGGCATTCAGGCAGCAGTCCCCTCGTGACAAAAACATTCTCCAGTGTGTGTCACACCCTGTCCCCTCTGGTCCCTTTGCTATCCACCTCCCTTAATCATCACAGAGACCCTGCCAAGACCTGGTGTCACATGAGCCCGGCTGGAGTTGATATACAGGCACTGAACAGCCCCCACCATGGCACCAAGGATGATGTTGGTTTATTTTTAACACTTCACTGAGCTGCAAGTCACGCGGCATGTGACTCACACACTCAGTGTTTGGAATTATTACGCTCTCATTTCAGCATTTCCATGGAGCCTAGGTAGTGTACAATTTTAATCTCAAATTACACTCAGGATGTTGTACAACTGTCACCAATGTTTCCTGTTTCAAAAGTGCAAACACACACTGTCCTTGGACCAGTGACTCCAGTCCCTAGCTGCCTCCAAACCCTGGCCCCATTGTCTGTCTGTCCAGATTCTTTGTGTGAGTGGACCATGCAACATGTGGGCTTCTGCATCTGTCTCCTTTCTGCATGTTTCTGAGGTTTGTCCATGTCATGCAATGTGCAGGACTCCATTCCCTTTTATGGCTCTATGTTACTCCCCCGTAAGGATGGACCTTTGGACTGTTGTGAGTGATGCCTCTGTGAACTATGTTCATGTCTCTTATCTGACTCCCACTGTTCCTTCTTTGGGGTGAAGCCTAGGAGATGAACTGTGGGTCACACGGCAGCTGCATGCTTGTCCTTGTCAGGAACCAGCATGGGGCTTCCTGCGTGGCCTGCCCTCTGTGGGGGCTCTGCCTCCACACAGCCTCACTACTGCTTGTTTTTGCTCTACCTTTATTGCAGCCCTCCTGGCAGGCAGGCGGCTTGGGTTTTTCTGATGACAGGTGACTGGGGTGTCTATTCCATGCTTATCACCTGTCACTTCTATCCGTGACTTTTGCCCTTTTCCTCCAATCTTCCTAGGAACCCGTGAGCTGTAATGTTCACCGTGACTCACAGTACAGCTTTTGCTGTTAACCTGTGTGCACAGGCAGGAAAGGGCCCAGAACTGGTCCAATTTCCCAGAATATGGACAGGACAGAGGCTGTGGACAGAAGGAGCACCAGGTCCCCTGTCTTCTGTCCTGACGGAGCACTGCAGATGGAACAGTGGCTTCTTTGTGTGCGAGTCGATAAAGGGAAAGCTCGCAGCAGTGCTGTGCATCGGTGTCATTGTAAACCACGTACGGTGCACTAACTCCTGTGCTGGTGTGTCCACGGCTGTGCAACATGGCTGACCTTGCTGGCATCTGTCAGTAAAAGTCTAAGCCTCTCCTGTGGATACTGGGAGTGTTGGCTTCTTCTCTGCTGCCTACAGGGACGCCTTCTCTGCTTTCTTTGGTGATGGGCTTTCCTGTAACTGACTCCATGATTCCTTCATGTTCTATTGGATGTCCCCCAAAAGTAAAGCAGCCACCACTGTTTTCACTTTCTTAATTCTTCCCAGTGGGATTTAATTTGCTCAGTGAGCTGAACAAGGCTCAGGCCTCGTGGCTGGATAAGTGGCACAGCAGCACTGAAACCTGGGGGTCTGGCCCCCTGACGTTGTCTCCCTGGCCCTCGTCATTGTGGGGAGACCCATGCAGTGGGGCTCGTGTGTGCCCACTTTCCATTACTGCGGCTCAGTTCAGGTCACGGTGGGGTCCAGAGCCCAGAAAGGCATCAGGCTGCTTGGCTTTGAAGCTGACCTAGTGCAGGGCTCCCAGCACCCTCCGGTAGGGTCCCTGCCAGTCATGGCCACCAAGCAGTTGTCGTTAGCTACACCTACTTCGCCGAGGCCCTGCCTGGGGGATTGGGAGCTAGCACAGTGGCCAAGGCATTCCCAAGCAAGGCCTTCAGGGAGCTGTTTGTGCTACAAGACAGGCGGCCCGGCTGCCTTTTCAGAAATGGTCACTGTCGGGTACCTTTCGAGTGGCCTGTGGCCAAGCCCAATTTATAGAGCTGTGAAAGCTCTGGGGGCATGGCTAGAAGAAGGTGGTCACATGCCTGTCCCTTCTGCCACCAACAAGGTGGCAGGGGTGGTGTGGGAGAGCAGGAGGCGTGGCACCATATTGGGCAGCCACCCGCCCTGCCTGGTCCCCTCCCACCCTGAGAGCCATGGTGGGCAAACGGACCCTGACATTATGTTGTCCATGTCTGTCCCACTGCCACCCCTCTCCCCAACCTTTAGGGACTCCCTCTTCAGGTAGCTGGTCTCAAACCATGGTTGATGATGTTTCAATCCTAAGACGAGGGTCTGTGTGTGCTTCATCTTTGATTAAGACTCTGATCCCGGTGCCCACAGCACAGGATGTGCGCATAAGTGTGTTGTCAGGAACTGTCTGGGAAACCCTCAAGGGCAAGCAGGGCCACTACTGGTCCACTGAGGCCCTCAGGCAGTTCTGAGCAACAGGCACTTGGTGGAGCAAAGAAACGAGCAGGTCCCACCTGAGCCTTCCAGGATTCAGTCTCTTTGGCCCTGAGCACCTCACAGGCTTACCATCCGATCCAGCAGAGGCACAAGGCTCACAACTGGGAAGCCAGCCTGGGCTATACAGTGAGACCTGCTCCAAAATCAGCTCAGAGGTCCAGCAAGGCCCTGGGTTCAATCCTCAGGGCTGCAAAAAAAAAAAAAAAAGGGTTTTGCTGAGTTGGACACAGTAGAGCAAATCTGTAATCCTAGCACTCTGGAGGCCGAGGCCCAGAAGTGTCAGGTTAGCCTGGACAACTTGGGGAGGCCCTGCCTGAAGCAAAGAGCTTTGCCGGCTGGTGAAATCAGGTGATGGGTACAGAGCTCTCTCCCTGGTCCTTCACCCCCAAGGCCTAAAGTCTGAGCCACTGCAACTCAAGGGAGTAAATTTCAGGGAGCTTCTTTATCATCAGAGGTCCAGGCCATGTGAAATAGCCTCCCTGTGAAGACTAGGCACCACTGTTACTGTAAAAACTGAGCTGAAAATCCAAGAGAACAGAGAGGTGTTTTCTGGAGCAGCCTTTCCTCTCGGCGGTGTGTGTGTGTGCACGCGCTGTGTGTGTTTAACAGATGGTCATCAGTGCTGCACTCTGCAGCCACTGCCCTGTGCCCACAGACCTGCTTGTGAGTAACTCAGCCTGTTGTTTTACCCTTTTTGTTTGTTTGGTTTTTGGTGTCGCTAGGGCTTGAACTTAGGGCCTCACTCGTGCTTGGCAGGTGCTCTACCACTTGAGCCATCCCTCTAGTCCATTTTCTCTGGTTATTTTGGAGATGGGGTTTCATGAACTATTTTCCCAGGTTGACTTCAAATCTCAGTCCTCCTGAATTCAGCCTCCTGGGTAGCTGGGTTTATAGGCATGAACTACCAGTGCCCAGCTTCATTTTACCTTAAAAAAAATCTTTTAATTAAAATCTCCCAAAACCTTTTGCTGAGTTGGGAACTGCTCTCACATATGTGGTGACTCTACTGTATTCTCCTGAGAACTAAGAGGAGGCCATGCTGTCTGGGGTGGCCGGACTGCAGGTTCTTCTGATGGTCACTAGAGCCTGATAGAAAAAGGACCCAAGTCACCCTGTACCACCCTTGTTCATGAGTGAGAACACCTGTCTCCTTCCCACAAAAGACACCTAATCTGTGGAGGACAGGCAGAAGACTGTCCCCAGATGTGTGTGGGGGACCCTAGACAGGCAGGATGGGGGAGGAAGAAGCTGGCCCCCAGGGGCCCCAGGCAGCAGGTATTGGAGGGCCCCCGACTGGGCCTGCCTAGTCTTGTAGTGCAGCCCAGCCATGCCCGTGTTCTCTGTTTGCCTGTCTTCACCCTGGCCCTGTGGGCAGTGGACAGGGTTGGTGTTCTTAGTGCATGACCTGTGGCCCCTGGGCTTCCCAGTGTTGTCAGCACACAGTTTGCCCTTGTCTCAAATGGTTTAGTAGTGATAAGACCATCTGGACTCCTTTCATCTGTCTTGAACCCTGAAGTGTCCTCTTCAGCAGTCTGTGAGACCGACCGACCACCCTGCCTAAAAAGAGGGTGCCCGCCTCTGTAGGACAGGCAGGGACTGTGGACACCACATTGGGTGCCCGCCTCTGTAGGATGGGCTGCTGCAAGATGGCAGGCATACATGCACTAGTTGGTTTGTTGGAATGGGGTCTTGCTAACTTTGCCCAGGCTGGCCTTGAACCATGAACTCTTGATCTCTGCCTCCTGAATATCTGGGGTTTCAGGTGCAAGCCACAGCACGTGGCCTGTGTGTTGAGATGGGGTCTTGCTAATTTTTTGTCTTGGCTGGCCTCCAACTGCAGTCCTCCCAATCTCTGCCTCTAATCTGGGATTGCAGGCATCAGCCACCTTGCCCAGCCTGGGGACCAGAGATTGTACACTTACTGGTTACTATTGGTTATAGGACAGGATGGACAGTGCCCAGCTGGTCTGCAAATGTTGACAAGAAGGTACCACACAGGCCACGTGGCTGGGGTGACAGCAGGGAGTCCACAGAGCACCAGGCTGGAGGATGGGCATGGCAGTAATAACACCACTGAGTCTCAGCAGCTGCAGAGAAAGGGCCCAGTCCCAGGACCTTGGGCTTCAGACCAGAGCCCCACAGCAACATCTGTTTCAGGGCCGATTGGCGCCCCTTGCCATTGGCATGTCTTTTGCCCAGTGTGAACACCATTCTTTCCTTTGTCTCAGGTCCGGCAAGCAGTGACATCTGTGGTGGGCAGTTGGCTACTGCAGCTGCGTGACCGCTACTCCTTCTTCCACAAGCTCATCCCTCTGCTGCTGAGCAGCTTCCGTGATGAGATGTCGGAGGTCAGGTAGGTAGCACGGGGCTGAGGCCCCGCGGGGCCTCGTGGATGGAAGATGTCTCTAGTTACCATGGTCATGGGAAGCAGGTGCTTCTGCTTCAGATCCTGATCCACACAGTTGGTGGGGGGGGGGGATGGAGATTATTTTTTGTTTTTGCCATACCGGGATTTGAACTCCAGGCCTCACATTTACTAGGCAGGTGCTCTACCACTTGAGCCATGTCCCCAGCCCTTTTTACTTTAGTTCTGTTTCAAATAGGATCTCAGTTTTAGCCAGGACTGCAACCTTCCTACTTCACACCTCCCAAGTAACTGAGAATACAAGAGTGTGCCTCCGTACCCGGCTTCTTGGTTGAGATAGGGTCTTGCTCGCCTTGTGCAGGCTGGCCTACCAATCCTACCAGTCTCTGTCTCCCAGACAGCTAGAATGGCAGGCGTGTGTCACAGTACCTGGCTGGGCTCTGATTTTTAAGAAACTGCGTCTTTTAAATGTTTCAGTTCGGTCTCCAGATGAGACATCAGTCAGTTACCATATACTGTCAGTCTGGCAGAATATGGTGGGGGGCTTCCTGCTCTCTCTCACTGCTGCCTGCTGTTGACCCATGCTAAGCCTCACCACACCTCACCGTCGGCCTCTCGCATGTGCTGCAGGCAGTCGGCCACCAGCCTCTGGGTGAAAGTCGGGCTGCAGTGGCAAGAGGAGAACGAGGCGGACCTGAAGGACAAGCTGGACTTCGCCTCACCACCCCCACCCCACTACCCAGCCCACGGTGAGTGCCGCGCTCGGGGCAGGTGAGGGACGGTGGGGGGTGAGTCTGCTTGTGTCTCCGTAACAGGGAGCACCTCCTCCCGCTGTGCCGCAGCTCCTGCCCTTGGCACCCATGCATCTCTGTCCTGTGCCTCTGCGGTTTCCTCTTTTCCACTTCTGGACCAGCTGTGTTTCGAAGAGGCACACAGCGTCGAGATGCCTGCAGGACACTGTCCACCCTGTCCCTTCTGCATGAGTGTGGGACACCATAAGCCGGATCCTGGGCAGCTCCACCCTTGCTGGCTGAAGTTTGGAAACAGTGGGAGTTTGTCCTTTCACCCAGAGAGAGCCAGTCATGCAGGCCATAAACAAGACGGAGTCTTGGCTTTCCGCGCTGTGTCCACACTGGGCACTATCTCCCATGGCCCTCCTGTCCCTGTCCAGTTAGGACCCAGGCCAGTGTTGGCACCTGTGTTTACCTGCTTGTTGGATACTAGCCCATGAGGAAGGCCAGGCCCTGCCATGCTCTGCTGCTCACCCGGCCTGTTTCCGGCTTCACTGCTTTGGAAATGCTTTGTTCTCGTGCAGGCGTCTCCTAAAGTACATAGGAATTCACACCAAGGACAATCAGGTAATGGTGTCCAGCAGCCCCATGGGAGGCCCCATTTCCAACTCCACAGGCCATGAGCACAGCCCTGGAGAGATGGCTTCTCCGTTCTGTGTTTGCTGTGATGCTAAATTGGGGGCCGGAAGGGTCCTGCCCTCCTCAGCTTACAGTGCCCGTCTCTCTGGCCGGCATCTGCTCTGGTGGCTTTGCCCCATGCGGTGAAGTTGGTGCAGGAGGAAAAGGTAAAAAGTGAGTTGGCAGCCAGTTGTGACTTAGCAAAGTCAGTCCTTTTTAAATGGAGAATTCAGACTTTGAAAGCCTCTGCCGCAGAAACACAGTCGGATTCTGAAGGTGTCCCTCCCTCCTGTTGCTGCCTTCTGCCCCAGCTACCCACCTTCCAGAAAAGAAGGGAGAAGTTTCCTGTGACAACGCCGAAATTCTCACTTTAAAACCTAGTGGTGCTAGAGCTGGTTGTGTGAACCAAGGGCTCTCCCACAGGAGCAGCTCTGTGGGGAGAAAGGAATTCTTCTCAAGGGGCAGTTGTCCCCGCCTGCACATCCTACAGGCAGTGTCCAGCCCTCCTTGAGGAGGTGGGAGCTGAGACTGGAGGGTTAAGTGGCCTGGATCCACTGTTTGCAGCTAGTGTCTGCACCTGGACAGAGCCACTGTCCATGCGCCTCCTCTGTGCCCTGCAAGCCTCTGTCCCCTCACTGACAGGACTCCATTTCTGCCGAGAAGGTCAGCCCGTGTTCACCTCTTTATTCTGAGTGTGTATGACAGTGGTGGGGAGGCAGCCATGGATAAACAGGCAGTTTGTGATCTGTTTTTCTGCCTGCAGTTAAATTACACTTAGTGAAATTGTGCAGAAAATGAGACAAGTTAACATCCCACATCCTGCTGACCCAGCTTTGCCAGCTCTGATGCTCCCTTGATTTGAGAGGCAGTGGACGGTGTGGTTTAAGACACAAGCAAGGCTGGGACATGGCTCAAGTGGTAGAGTGCCTGCCAGCAAGCATAAGGTCCTGACTTCAATCCTCAGCGCTGCCAAAGTATGCTAAGCAGATGAGGAGCCTGACCCTGGGTCTCAAGCCCAGGTCCTCTCCAGAGTTCAGCCGAGCCGAGCCGCCTGTCTCCTGGCACCATGGGGTCATGGATGTAGGCCTCCCTGTTGGTTACAGCAGGGACTGCATGGCATGTGTGGGGTGCTCGGTGCCAGCTTACCAGGCGCCCTCGCAGCTGTGCTCTGGGCACGCGCAGTGCCTTGGCCTCGGCCTATAGTCTGGGTCACCTTGAGCCCAGCCAGCTGAGCTTTGTGTAAATAGTTACGAGGTTCTTCACCTGAGCGACAGACAGCTGTGCTGTGTGTCAGTAACGGGGCTGCCATCACTCTATGCAGTCGCCCCCGTGTGGTGTGCCGGGTTCTGTCTTATTTCTCTCACTTCCTGCGAGGTTTTCCAAGGTGGGAGGAGGAACCAGGGTGGCCACTGTCTGACGGGGCAGAAACAGCACATGTAGAAATGCCCGCTCGTTTGGAGGCTGCTTGCTGAGCACCCTCCATCTGGCGCCACCCTGCTGGCCTGTGTGGGCTTTGAGGTCGAGGGCAGGTGGCCAGCAAAGGAGGGAAAGCTCCTGCCGTTGCAAGAGCCAGAGCCCCAGCGCCTGGCCTTAACCCGTCTCTGCCCGAGTCCCCTAGGTCACTTTGTCCGCCTGGCTAGAATCCACACCTACCTCTTCTACCTCTACCATAGGTTTTAGCAAAGTATTACCCGTCACCTTGTTTGTGTTTCAACTGCAAAGGTCAGTTGGCTTTGCAAATCTTTTACCTTGTCTATTGTGTCGAAAGTTAAGAAACAAATCTTAGCTGCAGGCGCCACCTGCCCTCAAATGGTCTTTGGTGGACAGGAGCAACTTATGTTGTCTTTCCATGCTTTTCTGGCTGAAGTGCTGTGGTGATGTCTTCAGGGAGAAGACCGATGGGTAATGGCTGAGCTTCCTGGGCCTGACCTGGCAGTGCTGGACTCTGACGTAGGTCAGCGATTGTTCAGACCCCCGCGTCCTTCCTCCCCGCTCGCTTGTGCCGACTCATTGCCTGAAGAGCCTCATGGCCTCCAGCTGGTTCATAAGTTCAGAAAGAAATGACCAAGTCTGGGAAGGAATTTGGATGTAGAGAATTGGAGCTGTCGTGCATGACTGGGAGAGAGAAACAGTGTGACCACTTTGGAAAACAATCGTGATTTCTTAGGCCATTAGACATGGTGGCTGCAGGTCCAGCCTTGGATGTCCAGGTAGACGCTGCCAGCCCACGTTCATAGGTGGGCACTCATAGCAGCATTGATCATGAGAGCAGACAACCCATCTGTGCCAGCACTGAGTGAGGGGTGCACCATGAGAGGTGTTCAGATGGCCGGGCATCACTCAGCAGAAAAGAGGACGGACACAGAGGTGCCTCACAGCATCATATGAGGGCCATGGAAGAAGCCCTTTCTGGAAAAGGACACCTCAGGCCCAGGAAACAGGTCACTGGCTGCGGGACTGTGCGTCTCCCACAGCAGAGCCTCAGCCACCAGGGAGTGTGCCAAGCTGGCACCAATCCCCTACCTGCTTAGGCTTGATAAGTGCTTACTGAGGAACCCCTGCAAGGAGGTAACTGAACCCTGTCTGTCCACCTGGGCTGAGCCGGTCCTGTCCGCCCAGCTCTTGGACCACAGGCTCCACAAGGGCTTTGATCCCGTGGCAGCACAGGCTCAGCTCCCCTGGCTGCCCCAGGGAGCAGGTGCAGTGAGGCCGTCTGTCCTGGAAGAGACAGGTGGACTGAGGCTGCAGGAGGAGTCTCCAGGTGAGGAGCAGTAGACAGGGAGACCGTGCCTTGTCCTAGCTTGGTGTCTCTACTGGACTCTGTGTAGAGCACACCTCAGGCTCTGTTTACTTTGCTAATTTTCCCAGCAACCACTTAGGGATGCTGAGGGAGAAAAAGCCAAGGTTTAATTGTGGCAGGCTGGTTATTTTAGAAGCTACTACTTTGGGAACTTTTCAGTGCTGGTTGGCTAGATTCAAAGCTGAGCAGCGCACCCTTGCTTCTGAGCGGGCTGGGCCTGGCGGGCAGGGCTGGTATATTAAGGGAAGCATGCATGCCCGCTGACCCAGCCATCCTCTGGCTGCTGTACTGAGATAGGGGCTCACTATGTAGCCCAGGCTGGCCTCAAACTCACCATCCTCCTGCCTCAGCCTCCCCAGTGCAGGGATTACAGGCATGTCCACTGCACCTGGCTGTCACACCCCCGTTATTTTTAGCAGTGCTTATCTCACCCTGCTTGCAGGAGAATAGATCATATGGGCTGTGAGGGACAGCTCAGCTGAGTGTTTAGGGACACTAAAGTCCATGCCCATTGACCGGTAATTCTACTTTTAGCACTTACCCAAATTAAATGATGAGAGATGCATAAGCTTTGCAAAGGTTGGGGCACAGCTTAGGTGGTAGACACCTGCCTAGCAGGCATGAGGCCCTGGGTTCAAACCCCAGTGAGTAAGATAATAAAGTAAGAAACGTTGAAAGCAGGACCTGGTGCAGCTGTTTGTCTTGTGCTGGGCGCAGGGGCGCCCGCCTGTAATCCCAGCCAGTTGGGAGGCAGAGATGGGGAGGGTTGCAGGTCCAGGCCAGTGGGGACAAAAACCTCACAAGGCCCCATTTCAGCAAGCATAGTGGGCACAGTGGTGTGTACCTGTCACTCTAGCTATGGGGGAGGCATAAATAGGATGACCATAGTACAGGTTGGCCTAGGTCAAAAAGAGAGACCCTCAACAGTCCTAAACTGGAAACGACTCGGGACCCAGCAGGCGAGGGGCGGGTCCACTGCACGTCCAGCCGTGGGTGTTCTCAGCAGTAAAGAGGACGCCTGAGTCCCACAGTGAGAGCAGTCAAGTACTGTACAGTTGTGTAGTTCCGCTCGTGTCAGATGCTGGAGTGCGGTGTGGGCCGCAGTGACCCGAGCGAGTGAGGGAGGGGGTTGGGCATTGTGGCAATGGCTTCACGGGTGGACCCTGTGTAGTGTTGTCACATGCTTAAGTCGTGTCACTTACGCTCAGCACAGCTGTGACAAGTTTCTTACGTGACTTACAACACTGGTTTCACTTCTGTCTTATGCTGAGCCCTTGAGCTGAGAACAGCAGGTGTGCCTCAGACAACAGGTTGCTGAGCTGGAGTCTTTCATCTTCTCTTCCTCAGAGAGCCGGCCCGGGCTGGGCTGTCGGGAGCTGGTCTTCAGGAACCTATCCAAGGTCCTCCCCGCCATCTGTCACGACATCACAGACTGGGTGGTAGGGACCAGGGTGAAGGCTGCGCAGCTTCTACCGGTGCTGCTGCTGCACGCGGAGGACCACATCACACAGCATCTGGAGATCGTCCTCAGGACCCTGCAGCGGGCGTGCGCTGACGAGGAGCCAGCCGTGGTCAGCAGCGTGAGTGCCCTGGCCCCAGTCACAACCAGCTCTGCAGGGAGGGGGCCAGCCCCTCTGCCTCCCCTGCCCAGCCCTGGTGACCACTGACCTGTGGTCCTGTACACGTCTGTCTCCCTGGGGTACTTCGGCACCAGGTCAGGGTGGCTTCTGCTGGCCAGGCCCTGCTGTCAGCAAATGCAAGACTTGCCCTGGAGTCCAGCTTCCTGGGCAACACCCTGGGTCTTCCCTGCCCAAGTGGTCAGTGGGGACAACCGAGGCAAATTCTCGGTGCCTCCGGTGTCCAGTTCCTCACTGTCCCCCTCCCCAGCCACCCCTTGGCAGGTGGTCAGTAACACTGTGCATGAGTGGATGGAAGCAGGGGAACTGGTGTAGGTCCACTCCATTCTCACTGTGATGTTGCTGTGCTGACCTTGACCAATGGCCACCGCCTGTGGGACCTCACGTCCACTATGCAATGGCTTGTCCTGTCCCTTGGAGAATGACTGATGTTCCCCACTGAAGGCTTGAGGCCCAAACACGCCTTTGGTTTAAAATCCTACAGAATCTTTTTGTAAAGGACTTGGCTCTGCTTTTGGACATCAATCTTTCCGTGAGAAACTTTTTTTTTTCCTTTTGGCAGCACTGGGGTTCGAACTCAAGGCCTTACACTTGCTAGGCAGGCGCTCTACCACTTGAGCCATTCCATCAGCCCTGTTTTGTGATGGGTGTTTTCAAGATAGGGTCTCGAGAACTATCTGCCCAGGCTGGCTTTGAACCACGATCCTCCTGATCTCTGCCTCCTGAGTTTCTGGGATTACAGGTGTGAGCACCAGTGCCTGTCCACAGGAGACTTTAGACTTTGTGTTTTCCACAGAAAAAGCAATCTAACTCGACATCTCGCTGTCTTTTTTTTTACAAAGAACGTGCAGCAGTCGGTGTGGCAGGACGTGTGTGCCCTGTAGTGCAGAAACAAAGCTACCTTCAGCACAGGGTCCTCACCATCCCGCTCCCCACCTGAGCTACTCCATCACGAGGGTGGTTTATGGTCACCCTCGGGCAGTGCATGGCGTTTGGACTGACTTTCCTCCCTGGTCATAGTGCCCTGAGGTCAGCCCTGTTACAGTGCCTCTCTGCTCTTCCTCATGGCTGAGCAGGAGTCTGGAGTGTGGAGGTGCCAAGTGTGTGCAGCGCCTGCCTAACAAGCATGAAGCCCTGAGTTCAAACCCCAGTGCCTCCAGAAAGAAAACACTAAGGCTGGGATGGTGGCCCACACTCACAATGTCAGTTACTCAGAAGGCAGAGCTTGGGATCATGGTTCCAGGTGAGCCAGGGCAAAAAATATTTGCAAGACCCCATCACAACCAATAAAAGCAGGGCATGGTGGCAGCTGTCACCCAGGTACGTGGGACTTGTAAATAGGATTGTGGTCCAGGCTGGCTCAGGCAGATCTGGGAGACCCCATTTGAAAAATTACCATCGCCAAAAGAGCTGGGATGTGGCTCAAGTGGAAGATCTCTTGCTTAGCGAGCGTAAAGGCCCGAGTTCAACCCCCCCAGTATTGTCCCTGCCCCCAAAAAATGTTTAGGGACAGGTATCAGGTGAGGGGCGTGGGGCAGGAAACCCACCAGAATGTGACCCCCTGAAGCCTCAGTCCTGCGTCCTGAGCACAGCGCTGTGTCTGGTGGCCAGAGGCCCAGTGCCAAGACCTGGAGTGTGGCAGTTTCCGAACTCCTCACTGACTGTGTCTCCCGCAGTGCACGAGGTCTGCAGAGCTGGTTGGGACGTTCGTCAGCCCGGAAGTGTTTCTGAAGCTGGTCTTGGCCATGCTGAAGAAGGCGCCCTCCCCCTCCGGCCTCCTGGTCCTTGCCTCGGTCATCCGTGGCTGCCCACGGGATGCCCTCCGCCCACACATCAAGGTCATCGCCGGGGAGCTGACCCAGGCACACATCTGCCAGGGGTCTGAAAACGTAAGCTGGCACCATGATGGGGGTGGGAAAGCGAGTCATGGGTTAGAGACAGGAGATGTCCCTGCTGGCTGCTCCCGGGTGTGACTGCTGACGGGCAGTCATGGGCAGCAGGGCCTCCATCCCAGCCTGTGGTCCTTCACCTTGCACAGTGCGCCCGGGGTTCTGGCGCCATCCTCGGCTTCGGGACCTGGCTCTGCTCTGCCCAGGACCATTGCCTCTAGCCACAGTCGGCCATTGACATCAGCAGAATGTCAGAAATGTCAGTTAGCAGAAAGTGACTAGGATTTCTTTTTCCTAGTCACAGTGGCCTCATGCCAAGTGCCCAGTAGCCCCAAGTGGCCAGTCTGTCCTATTGATGGCACAGAGCAGACAAGTCCATTCCTAAGGAGAATCCAGCTGCTCCATGCTCCTTGCGTGGTCCAGATACACAGGGTCTCAGACAAACTCTCCCCTCCCCCCCAGCCACCCGTGACAGACAGGAGCCATTCTTTGGATGTCATTCAGCGTGAGTGACACACCCAAGATGACTGATGACTGCACAGGTACCGCGTCTTAAATTGAGCGGCAAATTCATTTCATTTGGGGCTAGGGCAGCCTGGGTAGGTGGCTTCATCACTTGGAAGAATTTATTGTTTCTGCTGAAGACAAGATGGTGGTGGTTTTGTGTGGACAGCTGGGCTTGACCCTGCCTGCTTGCATCCCAGACCCTCCAGTGGGAGGCTGGGCTCAGCCTCAGTGCTCAGCCATACTGCATGGGCCTCAGTGGGCCTCAGACGCAGGCATGTGCTCTGTGGGGAGCAGAGTAGGAGAAGCCTATGAGGACCTAAGCACAGTTGTACTCGATATTCTGCAGATTGGGACTGGCACAGCCCCAGCCTCAGGAGAAGGCCAGAGTAAGATGCAGAGCAGCTGCTTTTCCTAAGATGTTTATGTCAGATAATCTGTAGACTGAGATTTGGCACAGCCCCAGCTGCGGAAGAGAGCGAGAAGTCAAGACGCAGCTCAGCTGCTTTTCCTAGGTTGTTTTAAGAAGTAGGAACACAGGTTTCTGGGTTACGATGTCACGCCCCTCCCCGAGAACCATTGCTCCACCTCCTTGTTTACCACTGGGCATAAAAGACTCCCTGAAGGAGGACCGAGGCTTTTGGATGAAGCAAGGTTTTTTGATGGGGGTTTTTGGCTGAAGGGAAATTGCTGGAGGGGAATTGCTAAAGCTAAAGAGAACGTGAGTCAGTGTGAGTCTAAGGACTGAGACTTTAAGAGTTATGCTAATACAGTTTTTAGATGCAGCTGCTGTTGCTTGTCTGCAAGTCTGAGGGCAAAGACTTTAAGAGAGATTAAAGAGAACATGGGACAGTGCAAGTCTGAGCACCAGGACTTTAAGAAAGCAAAAGAAAAAACGGGACAGTGCGAGTCTAAGGAAAGAAACTTTAAAGAATAGACCAGAAGACTTTAGAAGCAAGGTTTTAAAGAATACTAAAGAAGCAAGGTCTTAAAGAGTAAAGAGAAAAGAAACAAAGTGAATGAAGAGAATAATAGAGATAAGAAGCAACGAGGCTGTTGTGCATATCCATCCAAGTGCCCAGCACACCTTTCTGCATGTGTCTGTCCATCCTTTGTCCTTTCTTCGTGTCTCGTTGCCCCCAGTTAGGCCAGTTAGGTTCAGTAGTAACAGGAGCGAGAAAAAGCTCGCTCCAGTGCTCAGCCTGATGCTTCTCATCAGCTGTTACATGCAGAACTGGGCTGGGGGGAGGGACGCTGGCTGGAACCAGTCAGCTCCTGGGGGCAGTGATGTGGGGTCAGGACTGGGGACGCCCTCTTAGCATGTGCAGTCAGATCCTTGCTCCTGCCAGACCCCAGTTTTGACTAGCTGCCTGTCAGCAAGCTCTGTGCTGTCAGTCCTGAGTGGTTCTGAGAACGATCTGAATCCTGCACACAGGTTTGTAAGCAGAACATGCTGTCCTGGAAGTGTGCAACTGGACATGCATGCAGGTTTTTTAAGCGCTTGACTTCAACTCAGTAGCAAAGAAACAAATATTTCATTTATTTTTTGGCAGCACTGGGATTTGAACTCAGGGGCTTGCGCTTGCCGTGCAGACGCTCTACCACTTTTCCTTTCTCTCTTTTTTTTTTTCTTTGGTTAAGGGATTGGGTGTCAACCACTCACTTTTTTTTCATAAATTTTTTTATTAGGATGTATTCATTGTCCAGGGGGATTCATAGTGACAATTCTGATTAGACGTGTCTTGTACAGTAGTTACAGTGCTCCCATTGTTTCTCCCCTCAACCCCTCCCCACACATTTTATTTCTTAACATCAGCATTTCCTTTGTTACCATCGATAAGAAAACTGGGATCTCGTGACCTTACCAGCTCAGGCTATGTTTGGCTCTGGATCTGGAGAGGAAGAACTTACTTGGTGGCCTTTGAGAGACACCCGGAGCCCTGCCCTTCCTCTGCCAGCATGTTCTAGCCTCAGGCCAAGAACCATCACCAAGCAGCGCCTGGTGGCTCACACCTGTAATGCCAGATACTCAGGAACCAGGGATCAGCAGAACCTTGGTTGAAGCCAGCCCAGGCAACTAACTCTCAAGACCCTATCTCAAAAATACCCATTACAAAAACAGGGCTGGCAGAGTGACTCAAGTAGTAGGGCACCTGCCTAGTACCAAAAAATATCACCGTGAAGCCTAGGGTGCAGCCTTACTCAGGAAGAAGCCGTTGAGATTGCAGTTCTCCTTTCCACAAGGGCCTGGCCTGGGTACTTTGTGTCACTTGGGACACACTTTTTGTGTTTCATACGTCCATTCTTCAGTGGCCGTAAGAACAAGTTGAGACGTCTTTCCAGAGCACAGTGAATATTTTTAAAACCCTGTATTAAAACAAATGGGGCTGGTTTGAGGGGGGATGGGGTGAGGGGGTCTTTCCAGGTGTGTGGGGACAGGCACTGCACCTGGAGCTTAGCTGAAGGGAACTCAACTTGTGTTTTGGAACCCATGTGGTGACAGGTAACTGACATGAGGAAACCAGCATCACTATGACTTGTTTGTTCCTGTGTGACAAAACCCACACGTTTCACTGAAATAGGAGATCTCAGGATCCCCTGGGCACATCCATCCTCCTCACTGTTCAGGTGACACATCTGGTCAGATGCTAAGGTCCTTTCTCGACTCAGACATGAGTGTGTGGCAGGGCTGACACCCACAGGGAAGAACACACAGTTCCTGTGGGCACAGGTATTTGGACTTGTGAGACAGCACAACCAACGTAGAGTGGGCACTGGGGTTTTAAACTTGGGGCCTCATGCTTGCTAGGCCAGCGCTTGACCACTTGAGCCGCTCTCCCAGCAAGGGATGCACTTTTAAAAGGTATGTGGTGCTGGGCACTGGTGCTCACACCTGTAATCCCAGCTACTCAGGAGGCAGAGATCAGGAGGATCGCAGTTCAAGGCCAGCGTGGGCAAATAATTCTTGAGACCCAATCTTGAAAAAAACGCATCACAAAAAAAGGGCTGAGGGAGTGGCTCAAAGTGAAGGCCTTGAGTTCAAACTGCAAAAAGTGTGTGTGGTAGAGGCTTTGGGGGTTCTTGGGTCCCCCCTTAGCGCACGGTGGCTGCCTCACAGGGTCCCGCCCGACCCAACCCTGGTTCTGTAGCGGCAATGTGTGACCAACCCAGCCTCTGACGCCGCATCAACCGGGAAGCTGGTTCATGTTTTGTGTCTTGCTTTTGTTTTGTGGTTTAGAGACGAGTGTCTTACTATCTATGTCCCCAACCCCAAGAACTCTTAAACATAGAATTTATTTTTGCTAAAACTTAGTCTTCTAGAAATACTCAAAGGGGCTCAAAAGCAGAGTCCATGTCCTGCACCTGTCTCCCCTTCCTGTCACCAGCTCTGTCACATCCGTGTTTTGGCCTTGGGATGTTTTTTGGCTTTGAGCGGAGCGTTGTGAGCTCTAGGCGTTTTGCTGTGAATTTGGATGCACTGACATTTCCCTGTGAGGCCTGGTGTGTGTCGTTCACGCAGCTTTTCAGGCACAACCTTAAAATGCCACAAAGCCTTTGAGGAGAGGAGCGTGTGTCCTCAGCTCCTGTGTCTGCACACGCACTTTTCGTTGTGTGTGCGCTTGGGTCAGCCGGGCAGCGCCTTGGGCTCTTGCTGCACATGTGGACTGACTGCACACTTCTTGGGGCTGGGTGAGAGCTACTGACCGTCCCTTGGTCTCTTCCAGGACCTGTACCTGGAGCAACTACTGCTGTGTGTGCAGGCCCTGGTATCCGTGTGCCGGGAGGACTGCAGCGCGGCCGGCCTGCAGCTCATGGAGGTGCTGGTGACCGTCATGGCTGTCTCAGAGGCCTCGGGCCTCAGGGACAAGGTAAGGCACACGAGAGCTTCCTGTCCCGCCACCCTCATTCTCTGGAAAATAAGAATGTCTTCTGTACAACTCTGGGCGTGGCGTTCAGGTGCATGTATGCCTGGCTGGCAAAGATGAACGTGCGGCACTTGAGGCCAAGTCACTCATGAGTGGCCTTGGGGTGGCCCAGCTCGTGCAGATGTGCCTTGTGCCTGGGAGTGACAACCACTTAATCTCAGAGAAGTGAAGAAACAAGACCTTCGTGTCCCTTGAGCCTGTGGCTCGGGGTCTGGGTGCGTGCATGCATGGGTGTGTGGTTGCCTCTGGAGAGGAAGGCGGCTCTCCTGCGAGCACACCAGCCGCACTGTGACCCAGATTGGCACATCTGACCCATTGGCTCTGTATTTAATTTGGAAAATCTCTTACCCTGCCATCCCTGGGCCCTGAGGATCCTCTGGAAGCCTCTGGCTCTTGGTCCTCACAGGGTCTTTCTGGGAGACTGAGTGTCCTGGGGACCCCACCTGAGGGGACCTTGCATAGAGTGGCCACTGGTCCCCTTTCTCAGAGGCTCTTTAGGCTCTTATTTCTCTCTTTGGAAACCTTTGCAGAGGGCCTGTGTCTTCACAGACAGCTTGGCGTCAGGGCGTGCCTGTGAGGGATGGGAAGGCGCACCCAGTCCCCTCTTCGGGGGGCAGCACCCCCTCCTGGCAGAGTGCCCCTGCTTACTCACAACTCCTGCAAGTCACCGCCTCGTGTCATTACAGAGTATCCAGGAGTTTCAAGCCTTAAAAAGTGGCCTCGTCCCCACCCTTGACCCTGAACATGTGTCTTCCAGGCCCAGGAGACCATGGACACTCTGGCTGAGGTGGAGAATGTCCCCAGCAGTCAGGACCTCTACCGCAAGCACGTGGGCGCGCTTCTGGAGCGGATGACCGTCTCGCCAGATGAGTGGACAGTGCACTCAGTGGAGCTGCTGCTGTTCATGGCCATCCTCACCCGCTCAGGTGAGCCTCACGCACAGGGCTGCACGCTGGCCTCAGCATACATGCAGCGGGCATAGTGGGTCCAGGGTCGGCCTTAAAACACAACTGAGCGTTACCTTGCATGTGGAATGGGTGTTGTAAGGCAGCCGACCTTGAGAGAGGCCGAGGCGTTGTGTCAAGGGCTCGTGTGAGCAGCTCTCTGCCTGCACACTGTGTTCCGTGGTGTCTTTTGCACCTGTGCTCTTCAGGACCGCTGGGTTTGGTTGTGGAGTTCCATGTCCGGCCACAGGGTGTGGGGAGTGTGTGGTGTAGGCTCTGTGGCTTCTGAAGCCCCAGGTTTCCATCCCCTCGCCAGAGCCTGCAAGCTCTGAGTGGTGTTGCTTTACATGCTTCATCGTAGAATCCCGACGAGGCCTCTACTGATGTGTCCCCGTCCCCACCCTGTGGTTGGTACTGTCCCAATGCTGAGACCTAGAAAGAAATCCAGACTTGTTCTCTGTTAGTTGTCTGCAAAACTGTCTCCGAGTGGGGGGAAGTGCCGGGGACTCGGGGCTGGCCGCAAACATCAGCTCGCTGTCCTTGGCACTGCCCACATGGCAGGAGCCATCATCCCTGTTGCGCAGCTTGGAGGCTGGCAGATCTCGTTCTGATCAGCTGGGGTGGCAGTGGCGCCCAAAGGCCTGGGAGGGCCATCTCTTGCATTCCTCCTTGTGATTGTTGGCCACAGTGACATCAGAAGTCACCTGACCCAGTCTTCACAGTTGGAAAAGTTGGAAAACCCTGAGAGCTGGCTCTGCAAATGGGGCTTGAGTTGGCGCCCCTGAAGTTGCTCCTAAAACTTGCTGTTTCTGTTTGCAATTTTATAACATCTTACAGCGCTGGATAATCAACTGAAAGCTTGTAACAAATGCATCCTAGTCCTCAGGACAAGACAGGAGATGTGATGGTGTTAGGCAACAGTGTCTGACAGTGGCTCCCTGAGATCCACTGTGCGTGCACATGCGTGTTCACGTGTGCGAAACCTGAAGAGCAGACAGCACATCCTCAAAGTACTGTCACTTTTTTAATTTTTCTGTTATTTTCCAAGTTTTCTATCCTGAGCACGCACCACCAAAATGAACTTAGGGAAAATATTAAAATAAATTTTTTTCAGTATTGGAATTTGAACTCAGGGCTTTCACCTTGAGTCACTCCACCAGCCCTTTTTTGTGATGGGTTTTTTTGAGATAGGGTCTCATTTACTGTTTGCCCAGCTGGCTTCAAACCGTGATCCTCTTGATCTCTGCCTCCAGAGTAGCTGGGATTACAGGCATGAGCCATGGAGCCCCACTCAGAGTACGTTCTTAATACCTCACAAGTTCACCTCACAAGTCCCACCCGTGCCCTGGGGTGCTGTTAGTAGAGGGGCAGCTCTGTACCTCCCACATTCCAGCCATAAATATGGCCCAGTCACATTGTGCCACAAAGAGTAGCTGTCTCCAGTTCGCTTGGATGAGGCTGTGGCGAGAGCTCAGAAGGCAGGAATGACACCAGAGCCATGAGCTCATCTGGCAGGGCACCCAAATCCTGGAGAATGGCCGTCATGCTGAACTGGTCAGGTGGCCCACAGGGTGCTGAGGTGTCCTACGTTGAGGGAAGGTCCTGCCATGTCCCTCAGGAGCTTGGGCTGTCCTCTAAGGGCCCTTGCTTACCCACTTTGTCCTAAGTTGGAGCGGTGCTGTGGTTCTGGTGTGTCCTCGAGCTCTGCCGTGCTCAGGGTCACATGTCAGAGAGCAGGCTATCTTCCCCAACTGGCCAGGTCCTGTAAGCCATGCCTGCCCCGAGCCTGGCAGGTGGCATGTGGAGTATCAGAAGGCGGGGTGCTGGGGCTTGTCCTGTTCTGACTCATTGATTTACAGATGGGAAGCAAGGGGAGACTCCAGGTGGGGACAGGCCAGGCCTTCCTGGTCACTGTCAAACAGTGGGGTCACAACAGCTGCTCCAAGGCGCTGTGGTGAGATCAGACAGCCCTGGGAAGCCTCACTGCAAATGACAGTGTGGGACCTGAAAGTCCCCTCACCATGGCCAAAGGTGCCAGGTGGAGTCTACAAACTCCGCGCCCTCACCTGGCCCTCAGGAGTCTGCACCTGTCCTGTGTGGAGCACCTCACAGTGGACAGGACCTGACAAGCAGCGACGTGCAGATCCAGACCATTGGCCTCACCTGCCCTCGAAGGCCAGGGCCATGGCAGCCTCTAGGACTCAGGTGCCTGCTGACCACGTCACGGTCCATGCTGTGCCTCCAAGGCCTCAGTGACGAGAGCCAGGCTCTAAGCAGTGCAATCAGCCTGCCCTTCGTTCTCCTCCATGCTGGCTCCAGCCAGGCCCCGTGCACACAGGTGGATCTTGCTGTGTGATCTTGCACAAGTACTGCTACTTCCCAAGGGGCTTCATATCCCAAGGGTGACTGTTGTGTCACACAGCGCCTGTTCTGCACTGGCCTCCACGCTCGCCCCCACGCTGCACCCAGCTCGCCGCCTGGGCTGCCACCGTGACACCGATGCTTCTTTGGCACAGTTTATTAGGGAGCGCGCCTTGAACCTGGACTTCTAAGTGTGAAAATAGTTCATTTAGTCTTGGCTAGTAAAGAACGCTCAATAGAGCACGTAAGTCAGAACTGCTCTGCGGAGGGGGTGGGGACTCTGCTCTGTGTACCTTTCCCGTTGTGAGTGGAACTTCAGTCTTGGAAGATGGTATTTATCCCTGGATGCTCTCATCTTCACGTGTGCAGACATCTGTCGTTTGTCAGTGTTGATGAGTGACTGTACCCCTGGTGCTCACCTGTGCTGGCTTGCTTACCAGCACTACAGCAGTTCCTTTTCCCATCGTTGTGGTTTTGTGTCCTTTTCTTCCCCAGAACCACACTGAGGCTGCTCCCTTCTAGGCCTCCCCACTGTCGTTCTGCAGGCACTGACACTCAGGTTTGTGGTGCTGTGTCTTAGAGTGAAGGTCCGTGTTGTCGAGCCAGGTTGAGAATCTGCGCTTGGGCTGAGGTAGAGCCCTGGTTGCTGCCCGGGGCTTGGGGCAGAATGATGGTGCCTGCGGTTGGGTTGCTTGGGCGCCTGTGCAGACACCGCAGGCTTTGCAGCTCCAGCGGCTCCAGGAAGAACTGTCCCATTTGTCCCCCACCTTGTGTTTGAAAGGGCACCGCAGCCACAAGGCCCAGGGGCCAATGAAGGGCAGGGTATGTACTCCAAGCGATTGTTAAAATGTTCTCGACTAGATTTTTCTAAGATTTTGGGAAAGTAGCCAGGGGTGGTACCATGGCTGTAATCCCAGCACCTTGGAGGCCAGGCAGGAAGATCATGAGTTCCAGGCCAGCACGGGCCCCACAGCAACTACAACAACTGGCGACTTTGGAAACGAGGACGATAGAGAGTTAGACTGTCGAATGGTGAGGGTCCAGGGAGGTGAGAGGCCATCGCTTTCCTGTGCCTCCACCCAGGGATTGGGAGGGCAAGGTCACAGGGCAGGTGCCATCCCCAGCCTGGACCCTGCCCAGAGTGAGCCTCCTGGAGATGTGGGGTCAGCAATGACCCAAGCTCTGTCCCTGTGTCTTCCAGGCCCTGCTGTGGGAGAGGCTCTACCACATGTGGTCCCCACCCTCAGGGCCTGCCTGCAGCCCAGTGCAGACCCTCATCTGCGTCTGAAGCTCCTCTCCGTCCTGTCCACTGTGCTGCTCAGGCCACAGGACACGGTGGACTCCCAGGGGTAGGTCAATGTCAGGTCCGCATAGGGCGGTGCCCCACCTCCCCCACTACAGGGATGGGCAGAGCCTCCTCTCCCCCCCACACCGCTGGAGCTGGCGCAGTGGCTCGAGCGGTAGAGCGCCTGCCTAGGAGGCGTGAGGCCACAAGAGTTTTAAAAAGCTCTGAGTTCAGATCCCAGGGTAACTGCCACCCCTGCACAGCCAACTGCTGCACAGAGACAGAGTGGTAAATCAATGCCATGGTTGCTTTAATGGGGCCGTTAAAGTGCCAGAGAGTGAAAAAGTTTTAGGGACATTAACTATTAATGACTATTGCCTGTTCTGTCTTAAAAGCCTTTTGCTGCCTTTCAAATCCAACAAAGAACAGATTGAATTACCACTGATGGTAGCATTAAGACTCAGTTTTATGACTTTGAAGTAAAGGAAAGGTCCGGAAAGGAGGAACTGGCCTCTGGGAGGGGGAGCAGTCAGAGCAGAGCCCCAGGACACAGCAGCTGGGAGGAGGGTCAGAGAACCCCGAAGAATCCAGGCTGCCCTGGCAGACGAGCCTGCTACAGGAGCTGTGGCCCTGGGTCTCGCAGATGGAGACCTGGATGGTCTGGCTGTGTCAGCTCCCAGACCCGCCCCTCCACCCTCTTGTTCTCCAGGGATTGACACATTCTGACATTTTCTATGGGAATAACTTGGTCTTTCGGGGTTTTCCTCTTTGATCGTAACCCTGGACCTTCAGGCAGCTTCCTGCTTGTCTGTAGGAACCTTGGGACTTAGGAGGGACCGTGGCCAGGTGTTAATGTGTCAGTGGCACACTGGAGGTGATAGGCGAGGCAGTGAAGCCACAAGGCTGGCCCTGGCCATCTCTACAAAGACAGCCCAAACCTGACCCTCTCTACTTGCATCCTCACTGTGTGACCTTGAGGAGTAGCAGGTGACATTGCTGTTGCCTTTGGGCCAAGTTCCAAGAGGCACAAGGGGCACCTGGGCGGGCCATGGCCTGAGGATGCTGGCGTCAGCCTCAGCCTGCTCAGAACGCCCTCCCAGAGAGAGAAGTGCTAGCCCAGTGTGGCCGGTCCTCAGAGGCCCTGCCCATCCCTCCTCCTCCTGGGCTGTGGGCATCTTCTGGACGCTGCTCTTCCAGTTTTGCACGGACGCCATGTCGAGGACTTTTTTCCAGCCTTCCTCCTTGGCCTCCTGCTCTTGTTAGAGCTTCTGTCATGGCGCCCACCAGGAAGCAGGGAGGAGCTGTGGCTGCTGCCCTGGCCTCCTTTCCTCCTATTGTGAGAACCTGGCACGTTTTGGCCCCACAGAGTAAATTTTATCTGAAAACCGCAGGTGGATGAAGGAGACTGACCTGCATGATCTTGTGAGGCCGGCCCCACGTTTGGGCCCAAGGCAACCGAGGCCCCAGTGTCTGTCTGGATGGCCTGGGGGACAGGTCCTCAAGTGGGCAGGAGTCTTCCTGTTTGAAATTTGTGTTTTTCTTGTTCCCCCACACTTTTTTTTTTTTTTTTTTGGTGGAGCAGTACTGGGATTTGAACTCAGGGTCTTGTGCTTGCTTGATAGGCACTCCACTGCTTGAACCACGCCCTGGCCTTTTTGGTGTAGTTGCTGTTTGACTAGGGTCTTGCATTTTTCCCAGGCCACAATCCTACTCTACTCCTCCAGAGCCTGTGGGAGAAGGGGACTTCTGCCATTCTAGGGCCCTGAGTGCCCAGATGGCATGTGGACTGTGGCTGCTGGGCTCACGGACTGGGCAGCCTGTGTTACTTCCACCTCAAAACGAAGTCCCCACCCCCTAATCCTGTGCCCCGGCGTAGGTCTCTCTGCCTTTGTCACCTGCCCTTCTCACCCTCCCCGTGCTCCTGCCCAGGCAGTTCCACAGCTACCTGGAGACAGTGGTGAAGGACATCCTGGCCCCCAATCTGCAGTGGCGAGCAGGGAGGACGGCTGCAGCCATCCGCACGGCTACCGCATCCTGCCTGTGGGCACTCACCAGCAGCAACATCCTGTCAGCCAAGCAGGTAAGGACAGCTCTGACCTCCCTGGCGTCATCCCACAGATCTGCACAGGGAACCCCCGGCCCCACCTAGGGAAGCAGGCCAGCAGGACTGCCCTCTGGGATCTAGATGATCTGGGGTGTCCATGAGGACGTAGCTCTTGGTCGCAGGTTGGCACCCTGAATGCACAGATTCCAGATTAAACCACAGGGTCCTGGAGGACAGGCCTGGGCTCTCTGATGTCGGCGTCCAGTGGTGTTGGGAGCCACAAGGCAGTGGACTGACCTTCCAGTCTGGAAAGGCGTGGACGCCCCCTGCTGGCAGCGAAGGGTTATGACAACCCCAGCCCCGATGCAGCTGGCACCCTGGGTAGGAAGGGCCGGAACCCGGCCTTGCAGTCCCAGGCAAGCCTTCTTTCTCCTCGAGTGCATTTCTATCCAAGAGCACATTTTTAAAAGTCACCTGGCCAAGCCAAAACAAACATTGTTCAGTTACCTAGATTTTAAAGTCACGACTCTAGTATGGCTGTTGAAGACTGTCCTGAGCTGAGCTGGGTTTGTAGGCAGGAGTGGGCTGTCTCGTCTTGCTGTGTTCTGTTGTGTTGTGTTTTGTCTGAGGCGCTGAGGTTTGAACTCAGAACCTCGTGCTTGCTGGGCAGACGCTCTAGACTGAGCAGCTACTGCAGCCCGTTTTCCTCTGGTTAGTTTTCAGGGAGGGGCTCAGGGCTCACATTTGCCAGGGCCGGCCTCTGACCGAGATCCTCCCACCTTTGCCTTCCTCCTTTGCCTCCCTTTGGGACGACAGGCGTGTGGCACTGCTCCTGGCTTTTTGGTTGAGATGGGGTTGCTGGCAGCATCTTCAGGCCGATGAGGTCTCAACACGTTTGCCGGTCGCAGGTGCAGGACGCACAGGAGACGTTGATGCCGCTGGTGCTTGGCATGCTGGACGAGGACTCCCAGATGACCCGGCTCACATCCTGTCACATCATCAGTGCATTCCTGAGGACTGTGGGCACACGATGGACCCGGACAAGCTCCTCAAGATCTACCCTGGTAGGGCGCTTCTTACCTTCCACAGTGACTTCTGACCTCCGCTCAAGTCGGTGTCCCCCCCGCCCCGTGTAGAATGGGCAGTGACCAAGGAAACTTCACAGACCCCATAGCGCAGCACGGAAGGCAAGGTGATCATCTCTGACCAGACTGGGATGGGGGAGCTCTGCTTTGACACAGAAGGAGGCCGGGACCCCCACTCAGAGCGGGAACTGTGACCGGGCGCTCGGTGTGACGGGAAGGTCCCCAGCCGGGCCCGGTGCTCACACCTGTAATCCCAGCTACTCAGGAGGCAGAGGTCAGGAGGATCACAGTTCAAAGGCATCCTGGGCAAATAGTTCATAAGACCCTATGTCAAAGAACCCATCACAAAAAAGGGCTGGTGGAGTGGCTGAAGGTCAAAGCTCTGAGTTCAAACTCCAGTACTGCAAAAAAAAAAAAAAAAAAGGGAAGTGGTGGACACAAGAGCACGGACTGCAGCTCCGGGGAGACTCAGAGAAGTGTGACCTCAGGAAGGAGTCGCCAGGACAGGCAGAACCTGTCCACCCATCTGCTTTCCTCCCGGGTACAGACGCTCCCCGACTTGAGCCACTCCATCAACCCTTTTTCGTTTGCATAGCTGGGATGACAGGCACATGCCACCAGGCCCACCTTTTAATGGTTGAGATGGGGTCCCACTAACGTTTTGCCTGGGCTAGACTCAAAGTGCAACCCTCCTGCTCTGCACCCCCAGGTAGTAGGGATTACAGGCATGAGCACCATGCCCGGCTCATTTTGTGAGGAAGTCTGTAGGTTTGTACCTGTCATGAAAGACTCCTGTTTGCAGAGCAGCCAGACCTGGGTCCTGCAGGGCCTCTGGCAGTGAGGCAGCAGCCCGTCCCTCACACCAGCTGCTGCTCAGCTGGTCAGGCCTGTGTGACCAGCGTCTCGGCGGGAGGGGGCAGCTCAGGGCTGCACATGTCTAAGTGCACAGACACTCTCCATTCCCAGTGTGGGTTTCCTGGGCCGAGGGCAGGTGTCCCCCACTGTGCCTGGATCCTCACTGCTGCCCGGCCCTTCTCCCAGAGCTCTTGAAGCGCCTGGATGACGTCTCCAATGACGTGAGGATGGCGGCCGCCTCTGCCCTGCTTGCCTGGCTGAGGTGCGTGCAGAGTGCCGAAGGAAAGGCGTATTACCAGAGCAGCGTCCAGTACCTATACCGGGAGCTCCTGGTTCACCTGGACGACCCTGAGCGCACCATCCAGGACACGGTTTTGGGTAAGCGCTGACACCTGCCCAGTGCGCCGAGGCTGGGTGCAAGCTGTGCTTACTGCGTAGAAATTAAAGTTGAGGTTTTGAACCCAGGACCTCATGCTTGGTAGCCAGGTCTGGCATTTGAGCCACACCCACAGCCCTTTTTGCTTTAGTCGTTTTTCAGATAGGGTCTCTCATTTTTGCCTTGGGCAGGCCTCAGACCACCATCCCCCCACCTCTCCCTCCCGCACAGCCGGGATTACAAGCGTGCGACACCACTCCTGACTTAAAAATACCTTTTCAAACGGGTTGGCACCGTGTAGCAGGACTTTAGCTGGAGGGGGGAGTCCATAGGACGAGGTGACATCCAAAGGGGAAAGGAAATTGGAGTGAGTAGGGTTGGCATGGAAACAGAATGACACTGTGGTCGTGCTGTCACCGTTCTGCAGAAGACACGGCACAACTTGGTTCATCACAAAGCATGCACTGTGGGCAGGACATGGCCGGGGGGGCGGACACAGAAGTGCTGGGACGGCAGTGGCTGTGCTCAGCGATGCTCTGACCTGGCCAGGCCCATCTGCACAGGGTGGGGGACAGTTCCCTGCTGGCCTCTGCCACCGCTGGTCTCACTGTCTTGCAGAGGTCCTCAAGGAAGGCGGCATCCTGTTCCCGGAGCTCCTGGTGCGGGAGACGGAGGCCGTTGTCCACCAGCACCGCTCCCCCGCCTACTGCGAGCGGCTGCTGAAGCACGTGCAGGCCTCGGCCACTGGGCAGTGACCCGTGCTAGCCAGAGCCGCCTGGGTGCTCCCTGACGGACGGATGGACCGTGCTCCACTCAGCCAGTCCTGAGTGCAGTCACACGGTGTGTACAGAGGCCTCAAGCCCACAGCTAAGTGGACATTCGAACTGAACGTCCGCCCCAAGCTCGAGGCCATGCCAGCTGCCTCACAAGCGCCACGGGGCCCCATCATGCTGAAATGCTACCAAGAAAGCGTTTAGCTACCTGACAAAAAGGCCAAAGTGATCATAAAAGTGAAACTTGCCTTTCTTTGGGTTTTGTGCCAGACTGAAAGGAATTCAAACCCTGACCAGCCCCAGGAAACATGCTGATCTGGGGGCTCAGTCACCGTCATGGCCACAGTCGTGGTCGCAAGCAGTGCCGACCCGTCGGGAATGGAGCCTCAAGTCCATCGCAGCCCGGGCTTCGGCCACAGAGAAGAAAGATGGTTTCACTCCAGCATCGTCCACACCCAAGTGCCTGAAAGACGTTGTTTCCGTAAGCCGACGTTTGTTTACTTTGGCGTTCTCAAAATAAATTATTTACTACAGTTACCTTGTGTGCCTGTGCTCGGGGGTTCACTGATTTGTCGACGTTTCGGGAAACAGCTAATGTGAACTTAGCTTCAGGCACACAGCGGTCCTGCCTCGGCATCGTGGTGCCACCTGTTCCCGGGCTCCTCTGTCACCTGCTGCTCACTGCAGTGTCCTCTCTGGACACCAGGAGGCAGGAGCGCTACGCTGCACAGGGTGGTCACCAGGGGCAGCGCTGCTACCCACTTGCCCTGGAAGGATGGGGCATCCAGGTGGAGGGCCGTTGGCCATTGCAGTGAGGGGGATAACCACAGCCCTGAACACATGCCCCCTGTTCTGGATGCGGGTGTCACCCTTCTGTTCCTCCCAAGTCCCCTGACCACCGAACTGCCCTGCAGCTGTTTCTTCCACTGTACTGCGGGGATTCAGGACACTCTGTGTCCCCTTCCATCTCTGACAGAACCAGCAGCATCAGTGTCACTTGGATACTTGGCACCAGAGCAGATGGAAGGTCCTCAGCCAGGCCTACAAGCAGGTGGGGTCCATGCAGGGCTCTGAGCCCACTGGGGAGAGCCCAGTCCTGTCCTGAGCTCCAGGCAGCTTAGCATCCCACAGACAGCTGTCATCACCTTTGTCATGGGAACGGGAAGTGACAGAGACCTTGGCTGAAAGGACCACACGTGCAGAAGCACATGCAGGCCTTGGTGTGGCCACCTGGGGGCAGTGTGGAGAGATGGACCCAAGAAAGTCCTGACTTGAGCCTGCAGAGGTTGACCTGCACCCCAGGGAAGCAGAGTGAATTCTCTGAAATTCTGTGAGGTGTTTATGGAGCCCTGTGCCGGGCACAAGGTGGTGGGGACAGACAGGGCCAACGTCCACGTTCACGGCATCCTGGCGGTGTAGTTTACAGACCGTGAAACTTGTCCCTTCCAAGTGGACAGGCCATGGGTGTTGATGAGTTTACGGAGCCACTCAAGGTTCTCCCATTGCTCACGGCTTCCTCAGCCCGAATGCCCTCACTGCACACATTGTCACCAGCCCCAGCAGCCGCTGGTCTGTGTTTGCCTCAGTGTCCCTTTCCTAAGCCTTTCCACTGTCGAGTCGCACACCGTGTGGCCTTGAGTGTCATTTCCAAGGTCAGTCGTCATCATGGGATCAGGGCCGGCAGTTCCTTTCCATAAAGGTAAGTGTTGTTGACTTTGTATACCAAACAGCCCCGTCCCAAGTACTGAACTCCACCATTGCCCAGGCGCCAGTCCATGGCCATGACAGAAGGGGACAGAATGACCGGTCACCACGTTTGGTGAGTGCATCCTGAGTAACCAGTGGGTGGTTTCTAATTTTAGCTGCTTCATTGGCCACAATCACCTACCGTGTTTAAAGTGGGTGATCGCCCACACCACGGTCAGAGCAGTGTGTCTGCTGATACCAGGCCCTCGTGGTCACACCCCTCCTCTCCTGGGTCTCCAGGCAACGCCATCTGAGTCAGAACCCAGCGTTTGCATTTTTAGGATTGCATGTCAGTGGATTTACCCATGTTGCTTGCTTTTTCATTCGGTGTGGTTATTTTGAGATTGGCTGTGTGGTGTGCATCAGAAGTTCACTCCCTGCTGGGTACTGTGGTGCACACCTGTAATTCCAGCACTCGGGAGGCTGGGGCAGGAGGGCCACAAGTTCAAGGCCAGCCTGGCTGCATAGTGACACTTGGTCTCAAAAATCCAAGGGCTGGCTGCTGGGCACCCTTGGCGCTGGCCTGTAATCCCAGCTACTTGGAGGACAGAGATGGGGAGGATTGCTGTCCAAGGCTCAACTAGGGCAAAAAAAAGTTCATGAGACCTCATCTCAACCAGTAGCTGGGCACATTGGTGAATGCCTGTCATCCCAGCTGTGCGTGAGCCCCTTTTTCCTGTTAGTTATTTTTCCAATAGGATCTCATGTTTATGCCCAGGCTGGCCAGTTCCACAATACTGTTTATACTTCCTGCATAGCTGGAATGACAGGTGCCACCTGATCTCTGCCTCCTGCATAGCTGGGATTACAGGCGTGCGCCACCACACCCAGCAGTCATTCTTCATTTTAAAAGCATCTTTGGGAATCTCAGAAGGTGTGATTGAAGAGAAGAGGCAGTGCTTGCTCGAAGTTTGCTGACCACAAAAAGTGACTTCTTTGAAAAGTGAGTTGAACCTGGGCTTGTCGGCTCACTGCTATTAATACTAGCTGACAAAATGGCTCAAGTGGTAGAGTGTTTGACTAGCATGCAGGAGGTCCTGGGTTCAAATCCCCAGCACTTAAAAAAAAAAAGAAAGAAAGAAAAGAAAGCCACACCTGTAATCCCAGCTACTCAGAAGACAGATCAGGAGGATCACAGTTTGAAGCCAGCCTGGGCCAATAGTTTGCCAGACCCCATCTCGAAAAAAAAAAACAAAACCCTTCACAGAAAAAGAGCTAGCAAAGTGTCTCAAACAATGGAGCACCTGCCTAGCAAGTGTGGAGGCCCTGAGTTCAAACCCCAGTCCCTCCAGGAAAGAAAAGGAAGGGGACAGAGCAGTGGGAAGCTCTACAAAGCTTAGACTGAGCTTTGCCCTCAGGTTTGGCCATTTTGGATTGAGCATCTCCCTTTTTGTGGACCTCATGATTGGCTGCCTCTTCCTCGGATCATGGTTAGAATTTCACACCCAGGATCTTGTCACTTGTGTGTTATGCCTGAGGACCCAGCCACTGACCCACAACCCACACGTCTGTTTCTCGGAATTCCTTCGTCCGCCATGTTTCCTCATGGGGGCCTCCTGCACACCGTGTACCCCTACAACTTGGGGTTTACAGAGTCTGGTCACGGTTGCTCACCTCGGGTTGAGACACACGTGGGACTGTCACAGGTGCAAGATGTGACAGCAGAATCCATGGACGCACTAAGGGTAAGACGCTGGAGCACCGGAGTTACAGGCAGGAAGGAAACCATTGAGAGAGAAAGACTGAGCGAGAGACACCTAGCGGGGTCCGGAAACCGGGTGTCCCCCAAGCACTGGAGTGGAGGGCGGATCCAAACCTGAGGGTTGTCCACAGGTCCATGGTCGTAAGAGTGGGTGCGGAGTGACATTTGGAGTTTGAGAGCCACTTGTCCCTTGTCACCAACTTGAAGGCAACAATCTGAATGGTCGAATTTGTCACATCACCCCTTCCTCAGCTGGAAGACAGTCTGAGGCCAGGCGGTTTTGATACAGAGCTGCGCACCTTTGGGTCTGTTGTACGGCCATAATTGTAAGGCAGGAGCCGTCTGGTTGGTGACAATTTTTAACTTAATGGTTCGACTGAGAATGGAAATGGGAGTCCAGTAACCCCTGGTCCCAACTTGTGCCCAGAGATCCTTGGGACAAGCCCAGCAGTTGGTGAGATTAGTAACTTGGGCAGGTAGTTGATGGTGGGTGTCCATGGGTGGTGGTGAAGGACCTGTCCCACTAGAATGGGAAAAAAATGAAGTATAAATCTCAGAACACAAGGTGGATTATGGATGGGAGAGAGCACAGAGAGAGGAAACGGAAAATGGCAGGTCCACTCTCGGGGAGAAGTCACCCATAGGCCTTGTGTAGAACCGCAGTGGGCATGAGCCAGAGCGATGAAGAGGGGAGGAGATCTGACATCAGTTACGTTCCCGCTGGGAGTCTTCTTAAGGAGAAATTTTAACTGAGATGGGCTCCTTGGGAGCAGGTTCGACGGTGGCCATGTCGGTGGGGGAATCCAGTGTTTGACTCTGGCGATGTGGACCCAAGATTCCAGTCCATCACTCAGACTCCTGCTGGATGGAAGGAAGCCCGCGGTTTGGTTCCCCGTAGGGGCTCCGAGGGCTCCCTGGATACCTGAGGAATTCTAACCAAATCATGGGGACAAAAGGGTGGAGGGAAGAGGGACCACAAGTGGTGCCCTGGTGTAACTGGGTCAGGCTTTGTTGGACTTAGCTAGCTGGGCGATATGGGAGGTACGTCTGCCTGCTTCACCGTCCAGAGCACAGTCATCAGTGAGAAATGGACGGCCATGAAGACACTCAAAAGGGGTGATGCCCACTTGCCCGGGGTGTTTCTGAGGCGGAGGGGGCCAAGGGCAGGAATTTGGGCAGGGAAAATGTGTTTCCTGGGCCAGCTTGGCTAGGTGGCGCTTGAGTGACCCATTGGCCTGTTCCACCTTCCCCGAAGACTGGTAAATCCAAACAGGAGGAGTTGTCCTTGTTCTCCCAGTGGTGCAGCTGTCGTCCAGACTGACGGATCCACTTGTTCCTCAGTTAGGGGAATGCAGAAAGACTTTTGGGGGAGTAGTGTTTGGACTTTTTAGTTTGGACAGGAGGTCCTTTCCCAAAGAGGGGAGGGGGTTTCGGGGACTAGCAGAAACAAGTGGCAGAAGTGGAGGGTCCCCCAAGAGCACACCAAAGGCTGGACAAAATACCATTCTAGACGCTGTCCAGATATGCCCCAAACACTGACTTTGCTGTTAGACCTGGGACCCGGAGAGAAAGATGTGACAGGAAAGTGGGCTCCGGTATCCAAAAGGAAGACGGCCTGTACTTCTCAACCATCAGGACTGCCCGGGGCTCCTCGGTCTGGGTGTCGAGAACCAGAGCCTGGACAAGGGAGCCATCTGGCCCCTTCTCAGAGTAGGGACAGGGTGACTTCCAGTGGTTGCCTTACAGAGAGGGCAGGGTCCCGAAGGAGGTCAGGGCATTCTCCCAGGCTGCCCTTCTCATGGACACCCCTGTTTGAAGTGTGCTGTCCACAATGGTACAGGTCCTGACATTTAGTCCCTGTTGAGAGGGGAATTCTCTAAGAGCCACCACTAGGTCATGGTGCCTTCTGTCGTTTTCTTTCCATCTAGTCAGGTCCTGATTATGGTATGCAGAAGTAGCCATCTGTACCAGCAGGCCTAATGTTTTGTCACCCTCGACCACCAGCTTTTGAAGTTTTCTACGAACGTCTGGGGCCG